TGATGTCCATCTGGTCCAGTGTGTCATTCAAGGCCTTTATTTCCTTGTTGATCTTTTGCTTGGATGATCTTTCCATTTCAGTGAGGGGGTTGTTAAATTCCCCTATTAGTATTGTATTATTGTCAATGTGTTTCTTTGATTTTTGTTATTAATTGGTTTATATAGTTGGCTGCTCCTGTGTTAGGAGCATAGATATTTAAAATTATTAGATCTTCTTGTTGGATGGACACTTTAAGGATGGTATAATGTCCTTCCTCAAATCTTACTATAGTCTTTGGCTTAAAATCTAATTTATCTGATATAAGGATTGCCACCCCAGCTTTCTTTTGATGTCCATTAGCACAGTAAATTGTTTTCCACCCCGTCAATTTAAATCTGGAGATGTCTTCGCATCTAAAATGAGTTTCTTGCAGATAGCATATTTATGGGTCTTGTTTTTTCACCCATTTTGATACCCTGCGTCTTTTGAGTGGGTCATTTAGCCATTTACATTCAGGGTAACCATTAAAAGATATGAATTTAGGGCCATTGTATTGCCTCTAACTGTTACTGTATATTGTCTCTGTTCCTTTCTGGTCTGTTACTTTTATTATTATTATTTTTTAATTTTCTTTTCATTTATTTATTTGACAGAGAGAGAGATCACAAGTAGGCAGAGAGGCAGGCAGAGAGAGAGGAGGAAGCAGGCAGAAAGGCAGGCAGAGAGAGAGGAAGGGGAAGCAGGCTCCCTGCTGAGCAGAGAGCCCGATATGGGGCTTGATCCCAGGACCCTAAGATCATGACCCGAGCTGAAGGGAGAGGCTTTAACCCACTGAGCCACCAAGGTGCCCCTCTGCTCTGTTACTTTTAGGCTCTCTCTTTGCTTAGAGGACCCCTTTAATATTTCCTGTAGGACTGGTTTGGTGTTTGCAACTTCTTTTAGTTTTTGTTTGTCCTGGAAGCTTTTTATCTCCCCTTCTATTTTCAGTGACAGCCTAGCTATATATAGTATTCTTGGCAGCATATTTTTGTTGTTGTTGTTGTTTAGTGCTCTGAATATATCATGCCAGTCCTTTCTGGCCTGCCAGGTCTCTGTGACTAGGTCTGCTGCCAATCTAATATTTCTACCATTATAGGTTACAGATCTCTTGTCCTGAGCTGCTTTTAGGATTTTCTCTTTGTCCCTGAGACTTGTAAGTTTTACTATTAGATGGCAGGGTGTGGACCTATTTTTATTGATTTTTGAGGGGCGTTCTCTCTGCCTCCTGGATTTTGATACTTGTTTCCTTCCCCAAACGAGGGAAGTTCTCTGCTATAATTTGCTCCAATATACCTTCTGCCCCCCCCCCTTCTTCTTCTTCTAGGATCCCAATTATTCTAATATTGTTTCATCTTATGGTATCACTTATCTCTCAAATTCTCCCCTGGTGATCCAGTAGTTATTTATCTTTCTTTTCCTCAGCTTCTTTATTCTCCATCATTTGGTCTTCTATATCACTAATTCTCTCTTCTGCCTCATTTATCCTAGCAGTAAGAGCCTCCATTTTTTATTGCACCTCGTTAATAGCTTTTTAAATTCCAACTTGGTTAGATTTTAATCCTTTTACTTCTCCAGAAAGGGATTTTATTTCTCCAGAAAAGGATTCTCTAGTATCTTCCATGCTTTTTTCAAGCCCAGTTATCATCTTAATAATTGTAATTCTGAGCTGTAGTTCTGACATCTTACTGATGTCTGTATTAATTAGGTCCACAGCCATTGCTACTGCCTCATGTTCTTTTTTGGAGAGTGAGTTTTTCTGCCTTGTCATTTTGTTCAGAGAAGAAAAGATGAATGAAAAAACAAAATGCTGAAAGGTAACAATGACCCCAGGAAAATATACACTAACCAAATCAGAAGAGACCTAAAACTGAGGAGAAAAGAAAGCAATAAAAAATATGATTAGAGGGACGCCTGCGTGGCTCAGTGGGTTAAGACCTCTGCCTTCAGCTCAGGTCATGATCTCAGGGTCCTGGGATTGAGCCCTGCACTGGGCTCTCTGCTCAGCAGGGAGCCTGCTTCCCCCTCTCTCTCTTCTTGCCTCTGCCTGCTTGTGATCTCTCTATCTGTCAAATAAATAAATAAAATCTTTAAAAAAATATGATTAGACTGATGAATAGAACAGAGCCACACACTTGATTTTGATTTTGGGTGTATTTTCATCTGTTAGAAGAAACTGCCTCCCAAATTTTTAAAGAAAGAAAGGAAGAATACACACACACACACACACACACACATGATGAAAGGATGTAATATGACTGTAGAGATGAACATTTAAAAAGATTTTTAAAAAGGAATTGAATGGCATCTGGGTGGCTCAGTCATTGAATGTCTGCCTTTGGCCGGGTCATGATCCTGGGGTCCTGGGATCGAGCCCTGCATTGGGCTTGCTGCTCAGTGGGAAGCCTGTTTCTTCCTCTCCTCCTCCCCCTGCTTGTGTTCCTGCTCTCACTCTGTCAAATAAATAAATAAAAATAAAATCTTAAAAAAATAAAATAAAAAAGGAATTGATAAGAAGTTGGTTGAAAAAAGGAAAAAAAAAGGGAGAGAAGGTGATCAGGTGGGAGACAAGAAAAAGCCGTTTGCTAGATTTTGGGTATATTTTGGTCTGTTAGAAGAAAATGTATCCCAAAATTTTAAAGAAAAACTTATATGCATACAAAAAATAAGTTTAAATACAGTGAAGGGATAGAATATGACTATAACAATGAAAATTTAAAAAGATTTTTAAAAAGGTATTGATGAGATAAAATAGGTTAAAATAGGAAAGAGGAAAATTTTAAAAAAAGAAAAATAGAAAAAAAAAATGAAAATTTTAAAAAGTTTAACTCTGAAGACTAAAGAACCAGGAAAAAAGCCATGAATTTTATGTGCTGTATTTCCCTAGCACTGGAGTTCCACAGTTCTTATTGATCGGTGAACTTGGTCTTGGCTGGATGTTCTTGCTGATCTTCTCTGGGAGGGCCCTGTTGCAGTGATTCTCAAATGTCTTTGCCCAAGGAAGAATTGCATCATCCTTCCCAGTGGCCAGGCTAAGAATCTCCTCGGGTTTTGCTATCGGAAACTTTTGTTCCCTGAACACTTTCTGTACAGCTTGGGAGGAGGAGAATGAAGATGGTGGCCGCCCAATCTCTGGCCCTTTAGTTGCTGAGAGCTCAGGGCCCCACTCTTCAGTGTGTCCTCAGAGAAAAGCGGTCAATCCCTCCTATCTCCTTTGTCTCCAGCCATACTCTGAGCTCGCCTGGCCTGTGACTGAGCATTTCTATCTCTGGTGCACAGCACCATTTGGAGTCTCCTAACCCAGCAGATTCCTGCCTTGCACTCCCACGCCACTCCTCCCGGAGGAGGAAGAGGGGGTCTCTCTGGATCTGCCACTTGTGGCATTCCTGCTTGAAGAGCAGTAGCCCAACTGTGCCTTAGATCATGGTTTAAGGTAACCCCAAACTGAGAGCTCACTCCTTGACTCCACCTTCACAGCCAGCTGCCCTGCTCTAATACCTGGGAGCTTTGATGTACTCAGACACTCTACTGGTTTTTCTGTGACCCCGAGGATCCTGAGACCACATTGTCCCAGCGAAGTCTCCTCCTCCCATCTGCCACCCCCACCACCTGTCTGCTTATCCTCTGGAGTAAGGTTCCTCAGTGCAGCAGATTTCTAAAAGTTCCAATTTTGTACCCCACTGCTCTACTGCTTGCTAGGATGTGGCCCGTCCCCCACAGTCTATCTTCCTCTATATTGGCTTGGATTCACTTCATCCTACCTTCCAGAAAGTGGTTGCTTTTCTGTTCATAGAATTGCTGCTATTCTCTTTGACCTCCTGTTGAGTTTGTAGGTGTTCAGAATGGTTTAATAACTATCTAGCTGAATTTATGGGACCAGACAAAATTTAGGTCTCCTACTCCTCTGCCATCTTGCTCCACCAATCTCCATTATGAGTTAATTTTTTGTGTATTGTGTATGATAAAGGTTTAACTTCATTTTTTTACATGTGGATATCCTGTTTTCCTAGAATCATTTGTTGAAGAGACTGTCCCTTCTCTGTTGAATGGTATTGACATCCATGTCTAAGATCATTTGACCATATACTCAAGGGTTTATTTCTAGGCTTTCTAGTCTATTCTGTTGGTCTAGATGCCCAATTTATTCCAGGACCACACCACTTTGATTACTATAGCTTTGTAATATGGTTTGAAATCAGAAAGTGTGAGTCCTCCAATTTTGTTCTTCTTTTTCAAAATTACATTGTTAGTTGGTGTCCTTAGAGGTTTCACATGAATTTTTGGGTGAATCTTTCTATTTCTGCAAAAAATGTCATTGGGGTTTTGGTAGGGATTGGACTAAATGATATTTGAATTTCCTTGTGAAATACTGTGTTACATGTATCACTGCCATTGAAATTCAATTCTGGGACTATTACTTGATCCTTTACCTCCAGAATAGAAGAAGGAACATTTATTCAGTACCTACTACATGATGGGCATTTTTGCACCGATCCTGGGAGAGACATCATTGGTGTTCTTATTAGGTTGACTTGTCCTGCTCTGTGTGGTGAAGTCAGGATTCCAGCAGAGACACGAGCCAAGGCTTGTGTCCTTACAAAGCTTGTACTTTCCTCATACAACCCAGCATCCTCTTCCTCCACCTCCTGGCTGCTTCCTAATAGTAAACAGGGTTTGTACCCAAAATGATGGGTGTATATCTTTTCATTGGTGCCATAACATTTGTGGAGGTACAATCTGCTTTGTGTTTAGAGGGTTGTTGCAGAATTTTAAATGAGATGCTGTGTGTATTTAAATATTCACAATGTTCAGTGGATGGACATACCAAAGGGAGTCATGATGTTTGAGTGTGATTTTTATTTTTTAATTGAATAAAGCCCCGCCTGGGATTCTTTCTTATTTGTATGTATATGATCAAACTTTTGCTGAATAGAAGGGAATAACACTTTACCAAACCATTCCTTTTCCTCTCATTCTACTTGAGATTTCCAGCCCCGAGCGAGTAATGCAAGTGCTCCAAGACCACGCTGCAAAGACAATCATGCCAGCTCCATCTCGTCCAACTTTCGTGGCTTCCCAGGGTTTGCATCAGTGCAACTATGACCACATCTGGGAGAATATTTATAGCAACATCAATCTCTACCAGGTACAACAGGAAGAAATAACCAATATGGCTTTCTGTCCAACTCGCTACTTTTGTGTAGATCTTAGAAATTTACCTTTGGTAGTTTTTCAGAAACCGTCTCTATAAAAGCTTCATTACCCAGCCAGGTTTGTTTGTTTGTTTGTTTTTTTAATAAAAAGATTAATTGCTGATTAAAAAGAAGAATGTAAAGAGGTATAATATAAGATATTGCTGCTGGGACATATACTTAACCACTATTTACCAATGCAAAGCCACACATTCTAGTGCTAAACACCAAATAGGTTGGAAAATTGTTAAATAGTGTGAGTGTGTAGAGGCAAAGTGGTCCCCCTAGGGTTGGTTCTTCTGGGAAAAACCTTTTGAAGGAGGAGGAAACTGAACTGGGTTTGAGGGACTCGTGGGGCTCAGGGAAGTGGTGGTGGAGAGGGAAGCACATTGTAGAAGGGAGGCATGAACAACCATGCAGAAGAGACACTGTGTGTGGAGGGTTCAAGGCCCGGTTGGTGGAGTGAGTCATGTAGAAATATGGGGAAGAAAAGTTTTTTTAAGTGGGAGGAGAAGGAAAGTTGTGAATGTCCATAAATTTCAGAAAAAGGAATTTGTGTTTTATCCTATAAGGGAAGTGATATATACATATTTGTATTTTTAGGAAGATTGGTGTGGCAGCAAGGTGTTAGTTGGATTGGAAGAGGGAGGGACTGGAGGCAGGGAAGCCAGCTAGATAGCTACTACATAAGATAGGCCTGAAGTTTGGCACCGAAAGGCAATTTCTATGCAAAGCTATTGGATATTTGTCTTTACAATAGCACAACAACATTTTTAATAATTTGCTATTGTTTGTTTATGGTCTGGGAGAAATGAGCAGTGGAGATGAAGAGATGGAAGATATGAAAGGGTGAATTTGAGAAACAGATGACCCTGGGGAAAGAGGAGGGGATGGGATGAAGAAACCAGTTGAAGGTGGGCGCCTGGGTGGCTTAGTGGGTTAAGCCTCTGCCTTCGGCTGAGATCAGATCATGATCTCAGGGTCCTGGGATCGAATCCTGCATTGGGCTCTCTGCTTGGCAGGGAGCCTGCTTCCTCCTCTCTCTCTCTGCCTGCCTCTCTACCTACTTGTGATCTCTCTCTGTCAAATAAATAAATAAAATAAAATAAACTAGTTGAAGGAGTAATTTTGAGAAAGGAAGACTGGCATCATTTCCCTTGAGGTGAATAAGATCTATAGAATTGTCAGGTACAAAAGGATAAGATGTGGTAGCTTGTAAATGCCTCTGGCTGTCTCAGAGAGAGAGAGGAGATGGGGGCGAAGATGCCTGCATTAGTGAGATTGAAGGTTAAAGTGACATGTGAGGAGGTGGGTCACTGCGGGTAATGCCACAGGGCCACCAATGGAGAAAAGAATATAAGGATGACCATGTAGCCAGAGGGCCCAGTTGAAGTAAGAGGGCATGACTTTCAGTGAGCCTAATCTGCATAATAATCCTATTATTTTCACCCCTAAATATAATTGTAGAAATTATACATAAAGTCAAAGGTATGAAGAAGTTTAGTAAAATGCTAGAGAGAGAAGCACTATCATAGTCTATCATCCCAGGCTGGGTATGGGAGAAAGTGAAACCTAGATGACTTACAGATTGGCTGGAAGCAAACACAAAAGAGTATGCATGTGTAACACACACACACACACACACACACACATACATACACATCACAACCTCTACAACTTTTCAGCCTGTTGAGATAAGGATCTAGAGAATCTAATAAAAAATGAGTTGTCCAAAGAGATCAGAAACAGAGACAGCATTATCATGGCATTGATCACCTGGACTCTGATTTCCTTGACAGGCATGCAGCTACCAGTGACAGCCCTCAGCTAGCATCCTGCGAGAGCTGAGAAAATAGCCACATTTTTTCCTATCCAAATGTCACCAGGAAGACCTTATACTAATAAGGGGATTTAAAAAAAAATTCTTTATTTAAATTCAATTAATTAACATATAATGTATTATTGGTTTCAGAGGCACAGGTCTGTGATGTAATATTCAATGTAATGAGCATTTCATCTTGTTTTATTTTTTCTTCTCTTCCCCTATGATCCTCTGTTTTGTTTCTTAAATTCCACATATGAGTGAGATCGTACAATTAATTGTCTTCCTCTGATTGACTTCGTTCACTTAGCATAATACCCTCTAGTTCCATCCATGTCGTTGAAAATGGCAGGATTTCATTTTTTGATGGCTGTGTAATATTCCATCATATATATATATATGTATATATATATATATATATATACCACAGCTTTTTTTTTTTTTAAGATTTTATTTATTTATTTGACAGAGAGACACATTAGGAGAGGGAACACAAGCAGGGAGAGTGAGAGAGAGGGAGAAACAGGCTTCCCACTGAGCAAGGAGCCTGATGTGGTGCTTGATCCCAGGACCCTGGGATCATGACCTGAGCCAAAGGCAGATGCTTAACAACTGAGCCTCCCGGGCACCCCTATACCACATCTTCTTTATCTATTCAACTGTTGATAGGCATCTGTGTTCTTTCCATAGTTTGGTTATTGTGGACATTGCTGCTATAAACATTGGGGTACAGATGCCCCTTCGGATCACTACATTTATATCCTCAGGGTAAATATCCATAAGTGCGATTGCTTGGTTATAGTATAGTTCTGTCTTCAGCTTTTTGAGGAAAGTCCATATTGTTTTCCATCAGCTTGCATTCCCACCAATGGTGTAGGAGGGTTCCCCTTTCTCTGCATCCTCACCAACATCTGTTGTTTCCTGACTTTTTAATTTTAGTCGCCCTGACTGGTGTGAGGTGGTATCTCATTGTGGTTTTGATTTGTATTTCACAAAGGGACATTTAAAAACATCCAGTTCTTTTGCTTCTTGAACCAAACTTAAGCAGAAGGAGGTAGGGAGTAGGAAAGAAGGGAGGAGGTTGAAGACAGAGTCAGACCTTATCACTAAGTAAGACCTGTGCTCCTAAGATACTGGACAGTCTAGCTCTTGATCCTGAAAGAATCCTCCTTTACCTGAGATTCTGGTTTTAACATTTGAGGGCCACCACAAGTCTGTTTTCCTCCTTGACTAAGAGAATAGGGGCAATTAAATTCCTGGGGGGCTGGATGAGGGTGAAAAGAGGTGAATATGAGTAAAGGAGAAGTAGGAGGCAAAGGAACAGGGAGTCAGTAGTGAAGAGCTTCATGTTTGAAGTCATGGAGAAGTGATGGTCCAGGGTCTGGCTGGACCAGCAGGCCAGAATTGTAGCAGTGCCCATGCAGACTTAGGGGACAAAGGAGGTTATCCAGGAAAAGAAGAAAGTGCAGGGCAAGAGCAGGAGATGATGGCTCAGGTTTTGTTTTTTTTTGAAAGGTGGAAAATACTAAGAGCCACAGTGCGAGGAAGGAGACCAGCCACACAGTGGAGAGAACTGACATTTCCTGCCATCCTCTGTTCCTGCTTCCCTCCATTTGCACATGAGGTGGAAAGTCAGGGTATGATGAAATGTAGTCTCTGTTTTCACCAGTCTATTTTGAATGCAGTTGCCCAGTGTTAAATTGGAGGAAAGAAGAAAAAAAAGAAAGAAAACCACTTCCTTGGGCTATTTACTGACTTGTAAATGTTGTTCTTGGAATTGACCAAAAGAAGAAAAATGAGAACACCTACTTTCAGGTTGATTTATGGTAAATGGACCCTAGAGAATGAGAACACCTATAGATTTCAGAGGTGGATCCTGAAGGGAGACATAACACACACAAATTAACCCTACATGTTAGTGTCATGCAAGTTTCCTGTTCATTAGTTTGTTCGTTCATTCATTCATTCATCCATTCAGTGATTATTACATGGATACTGTAATTATTATAATTATTAATTATTACATGGATACTGCCTTTGTCCCAGGAACTGTGCTGCTCAGGGAATGAAACGTGCAATAAACAGGTGAACGAAAGAGTTAATCTCATCTCTAACCTGTGGGTGCCATGAGGAAAACCACAGGAAGAGGGGGCAGTGGGGTAGAGAGGAGCATCCCCTGATAGATGGGCCAAGCCCTCTGAGCTGGGAACATCTGAGCTGACATTTGATAAATGAGAAGGAGTCAGCCACGCTAGAGAAGAGCTTTCCCAGTGGGGAAACAGAAAATAGCACAGCATTGGAGAAAGAAAATTCTGAGGCAACGATCAATGGTTTTCTATTTTCCCTCCCATTTTCCTGTGGGCGTTACTTTGTGAACTCCTTACATATTTCTGCTCTGGTCAAGAGGCTCTTTATACAGTATCTGAATGCCATTCTGAATATTGGATGCCAGTCAGAGGAGATTAGGATGAAGTTAAAGGGGGCAGATGGGAGGAGTCACGGGAATGTGGGTATGAATTGTAAAGCTCTGTGATTATTTTGCACGCATGTAGCAGTCAAGTATGAATTTTAGCATCTATACGCTGATCAGCATTCTGATTCTGAAGTTGGCAAAGAACAATCCATACCCCATGAAAAATAACTTTCTTACTTCTGCATGAAGGAAAGCAAACCTCATAGGATTGCCCGTTTTGACAACTCAGAAAGAATATAGCATGACTTTGGGACAGTTTTGGATCAGTTTTCAGTGAATACTATTCACCAATAGTTTTTCTTTAGGAAGTTTGTTGTTGTTGTTTAGAAAATCAATGTTTTATTTCAGAGCAGTTTTAGATTTACAGAAAAGTTACAAAGATAGTACAAAGAGTTCCCAGGAATCCCCTGTCAGGTTTCTCCTGTTATTGACATATTACTTTGTCACACCCAAGGAACGAGCACTGGTACATTACTGATATCTAAACGAGACTGTATTGGGAAGTCACTGGTTTTTCCATTACTGTCTTCTTTGTGCTCTAGGGTACCACAGTGCCTTTGCTTGTCATGTTTCCCAGGCACCTCAGGTCTGTGCCAGCTTCTCAGGCTTTCCTTGACAGTCTTTGGGAGTACTAGTCAGGAAACCTGTAGAAAATTCCTTCACTTAAATTTGTCTGATGTTTTTTTCGTGGTTACATTGGGGTTACAGGTTTGAAGGAAGGACACCCCAGAGGTGAAGTGCCCTTCTTATCACACCGTATCTGGGACAGATGTTATCAACCTGGTATATTGCTGGGATGTTTTAAGCTTGATATGTGGTTAAGTTAGGGGTGTTTGCTAGGTTTTTGCACTGTAAAGTGATGATGTTTCTCCTAAGAAGATCTTAGAAATTAATTTTGAGCTACAGAAATAATACATAAACATCTTCTTGTGAAAAATTGAAACATCATTGAAAATTTAATGCTTTAAATTAATTGGAATTCTAATCTGGTCCCCATTCCACTTCCTCAGAGGTAGACACTGTTATTGCTTTAGCTTTTTCAATACAATTTACATTCAAACATATGTCCTCATAAAATATATATTATACACACACACACACACACACACACACACATGGTATAATATTGTGTTTTAGTTTTCTATGTAAATTATCTGTCATACTCTGTGGATATCTTTGTTAACTTGCTTTTTTCACCCAACAATATGTCTTAGAGATCTGTCTCTGTTGTTCTTTTTAATGCTTGTGTTATATTTTATCATATACAACAGCTCACACAGACACCTCTCTGGATACTTGTTGCCATTTTTTACCTCACTAGAAACCATTCCCACTGAACTTCCTTGTACATGCCTCCTTGTGCACACATGTGTTTCTTTAGAGTAGATATTTAGAAGTAGATTTTCTGGGTCACTGACATACACATGAAAATTTTCCATAGATCCTACTGAAGTGGTATACCCTTTTTTTCCCTAACAAGCAACTTATGAGAGAACCTGCTTCCTCACATTTTAACATCAAACATATTTGTCTGAAGGTCAATAATGTTTATAATGTTTCTATCACATTTTGAATTGGCCCTTTATTTACCATTGGCATGTAAGGCAGGCTACTCTTTTCTTTATACACAATTCTTTTCCCGGATTCACTTAGAGATCTGGGTTTGGGGGATAAAGAAAAAAATATCAGATTTTCTGATCATTGTCAATTGAAGATAATTTATAACTAAAAAGAGAGAATTATGGTCTAAAAGGACTGTTTTTTTAATATCCTTTTGAAAAAACTTAAAAACAATTTAACCATATTCCTAATCAGAAGCAATAGACCAGCCAGCCAGCCCTGTGTGGATCCTCCCAAACCTCCCACATTTGTATTTTATTAAGTTACTCGTACCCAGTGCCATTCCGCAAGAAAACACCTGTTTATTAAAATGTATAGACATTAAGTACTACTATTGGCCATCATATCTCTAAAGATATGGTTTAAATTGGTCACTGTCCTTTAACGTTATGGAGTGTTGCAGTGACAAGAAACACTATATCCTGTGCCTCTTCTTTTGTTTCTTTTCACTGGCCACAGGGAGAAGAGGGCAAGGGACAGCTGGTTCTTCCCCAACAGCTTTACTGGTCCCCTGTATTTCCACAGATGGAATGAGGACATAGTGTGCCCTCACAAAAGTGCTGTTGTATACAATCATTCCAATGTGCAAGAAGTTTAGGGAAACAGAAAACACTCCTTTCTGGTTTCCCTCATCCAATTCAATGGAACATGTAAAACAAACATTTTCTGTTGACAATAATGACATGTATTATCACAGAAAATATGGGAAATGTAGAAAAGCTCAAGGAAGAAAATAAAAATCAGCCATTATTTTACCACCCAAATAAAACAATAATATTGTTAACATTTGGTATCTATCCTTCTAGTCTTTTTATTCTGTGGATATACACAAATACGCTGTGGGGACATTTAGGAGGTGGGAAATACATTATAGACCACCGTCCCCCCAACCTCCCACTCCACTGCCCCTGCCAGTTTCCCAGAAGAATTAAATTTGCAATCAGTGGAGATCTCAGAACTATCAAAATACTGCCCAAGACAATGCTGGCAAAGACCCAGCCACCAGGTAGAGTAAATGTCAAAGGATTTACCTACCTAGGAAGAAGGAACAAACGCAGGTGGTGTTGACATTCTGGCTTCTGGTCAACCCTGCTGCTTACTTGCACCGTGTCTAGTCCTCTTAGGGGAATACACTCATGCGCTTTGGGTATTTCCTAAACAGTTGACTTCTGTGGGCTGTGGCTGGTTCTCTTTTTCCGGAGGGGGCTGGGCTCTCTTCTTCTACTCACCCTACCCAGTTATGCCCCCTATCTTTCTTCCCAGCAGCCTACGGGTCCAGCAGGGCTTCTGTGCCTTGCTCAGTCGTACCTTCATAGTGTCTTTCACCGAAACTTGATGTCACTCTCTGTTCCTCCCTATGTAATTCTGGGTAAATTTAGAAGCAGCTGGAAAAGTCACAATCCCGTCAGAGAAAAGCTGTGGTTCTGAGCCTGCCCTCTGCAGCCACAGTGGGGAAGGCTGAACTGCAGTGTAAGGGTACCAGAGGCCTAAGAGGCAAGGGTCTTCAGGAGAAACACTCTCACCCCAAATTCTGGCCAAATAGAAATTGCCAAGATTCAACTTCCCTCATAGAGTATATGCTTTCCTACAGGTTTTCTTCAAGTAGGAGTCTCTTAATCTGGGGATGATGATCTTGTGTTTCTGTATTAAAGAACAGGAGTGCCCCATGTCACTTCCTAGGTCTTTTCCAGTCCTGGGGTTGTGGGATGTTTACATGGAAATACACTAATGTGCACACTTACCCAGAACAGACAGGAGCTACTTCTACCCACAGGCAGAATGGGAAGCCATTTAACGATACTCGATGAGACAACTTTCTTCTCACTCACTCTTCCTAATATCCCTGCCCCAAATTCTCTTCTCTACTGCCCGTCATAAAGATTAATAGTCTGTCTTTAGCGTCTCAGGTACTGTATTAGTTAAAATTATATTTGGCCGTTGGTCATGATTAAATACAAATTAGCAGAGGATTAAAGGAGATAGGAATTTCTTTCTCTCTCCCTCATATTAAGATCCAGGGGTAGGAAGTACAGAACTAGTGTGATGACTCTGTTCCATGGAGTCCTCAGGGACCTACGCTCCTTCTATCCTGGAGTTCCAACAAATGCAGCCTCCATACCTAAGATCAACACCTGGTCTGAGATGGAGCTCCAGCTGTCACATTCTTGTCCTAAGCAGCGGAATGGACAATGGGGGAGAGAACCTGCCACTCCAGGGAAATTCCCAGAAGCTGCCACATGGCATTTTCACTTTGGCCAGAACTTAGGCACATAGCTACACCTACCTGCAAAAGAGGCTTGGAAATGTCATCCCCATCTGGGTGGCCACGTGCCACAATAAATATTTAATTACTACAGGAAGAAAGGAAAGTGGATCTTGGGGAACAACAGCAGTTTTTGCCGTAAGGGCTTATTGGAATCCCAAGAGTGAACTATTAGAATATAAGTAACCCAAAGAGTGGGGTTCCAAGCTAACTCATTGCCACTCAGTAGTGTTTTTGTGGGTACTGGAACCACTATGAAAGACAGTGTCTTATGAGAATGGGGTGGATGCCCAGGGACAGGCAGAGAGAACAACGAAGAAAGGGGCTGCCAGAGGACCAGGGGCAGACTCAATATTACTTTCTTCAAGTTTTTCCTAGGACCCTGTGTGTGTGTGTGTGTGTGACCTAGTCCTGTTCAATATCAGGAAAAATGCCTATGGAAATAAACATAAATCATGAATTCTGTGATAGATCCTGCCGGGCTGACCGACTACAGCAATCCATGGGCGAGGGGGAGCTAGCACATACAGGGCACCTACAAGATGCCAGTCACTATGCGTTAATTCTCACAGCAATTTATCTTCTATTATTATGCCATTTTACAAGCACAAAAACAGGATCAAGACTTTAAAAAATTAAATCACATAGCTAAAAAGTAGAAAGAAGCATTCAATCCACCGATCTCTCTCAGCCTGGAACAAGGTTAGATTCGAGATGTTCAAGGTTTCAAACATCTACAAATGCATATATCAACTTTTCATAAGTGCATCACGGAAAAGCTGTATGTGTGTGTGGGGGGGTGGTATTTAAAAGCTGTAAAGAGTCTTATAAAACAAGGACTAAATAATAATAATAACGGTGGCTTCTAATTTATTCTAGAAATCCAGATTTCCATAGGACATGCTGCAGTGGATCCCAATACTCTTCTGCTTGTTCATATAAATATGCCTTGGATCATGGGGTTTGATCTTGTGGTGGCCCCACTGTGACTTTGTTAATGATATTGCAGATGCTCATGTAATTCAACTAATGCTCCTTTTTTGATAGAATGAAAATATGAGGGAAGAGGACCTTTCAATGGAACAAAGTGAAAATGACCTAGTACTAATAAGTCGTTGCCAACATGCTGGTGAGCCCGCCAAGCAGAAGAAAGAGACAGGGTAAAATTAAATCATGTTATTGGTGACTCAAGGAAATGGATTAAACACAGGGAGGGGGTGGAAATTGAGTGACTGATTAATAGGTAGGTTACATGTTAACTCAAAAATATTTGAAGCTGAAATAAAAGCAAGGCTGTTCAAACAGGTCAGACAACTAAATTAATGTTTCACCCTAGGACTGGGTTTTTCACAAGAGTAATTGCTAAGAGCAATTTCTTTTTGTATTTATACATACAGAGTAATTATTTTCCTTCTAATGCATTTTTAAAGAGTAGCTACTGTGAAACTCCCTTAAGTTAAATAAAATGACTTCCGTTTGGTGTCTATGAATTTTCCAAACCACTTTGAGGTGAAAAGCATTTATTCTATTTCTCCTACCCCCTCAAGGTACAGCTTTGCAGTGGCCCTGCAACTGCTCGGTTTGGATGGTGGGACCGGGCCCAGTGATGGGAGTCCTGTCCTGATGAGAGGAGCCTACTTGTCCTTCCTGTATCTGCGCCACCTGCGAATCAGGGAGCTGCAGGTATGTGGATGGCACAGCACGCGGGTTTCAGGCTTCTGGAAAGTTTGGTTGTCCACCAAGGTGGTTTTCCTGCTCTTCCAGTAGCAACGCATTTTTACGCTTTGTTCTTTGTTCTAATTTTTCCACAACATCAGGCCTTTCTGGGGATGGTGTGTTTCTTTTTCAGCGGTGGAATCCACTTGCCAGCTTCCAGGGCCCCCATTCAGTTTTACTCTGTCGTGTGGGGAGAGCAAAGGACCGAGTCCTAACCTGGTCTGTCTTTGTTTCAGCGCACCTGTCTGGGAATTCTGAACTACTTCAGATCCGTTGAGCGAACACTGACAATCAACACTTCAGGCCTTACCTTCGTTGGAGGGAGTCTGGTCCCCACCATAGAGGATAGTTCCTGGGTAAATACAGCCGAGGGAGGTCTGGGCACCTCGCAAGGCCTAGGAGCTCACCGCTATGTCCACGGGACAGCTGCTGAGCATAAGGTGAGGTTAAGATTCTGCTGAGAGTTTTTTCTACCTTGGTTATCCTATCTCTCAAGCCCCCTTCTTCTTGACATCTGGAATCAGTTAGCATGGTGGAGTAACAGATGGGGTTTCTTAGGCATATGGCTTTTTAGAAAAGTTCAGTGACCACTTGAGAGTAGGACACAGGCAAACAGGACTCTAAGAGCAACCCTGGAGGGCACAATGGGAAGGAAGACATTTCAGCTGTTGGTTTGTTGACTTTACAGGGAACAGAACCCGAGGAGCCCTTTCTGTTATCCTAACCTGAGAGCCACATGTCTTTACCGAGAAGCTCTTATAAGACCCTCTTTGACATTACTAGAGATACCTTTCTGCCTCTTTGCTGTTTTCGAAGCACCAAGTAAAAAAACAGACTAGAAGACAAAGGTAGAGAAAATTTGAAAGAGTTGAAAAATAAAATATCTTTTATCCCTCTAAAAGCCTGTTTGTCCCTTGGTGCTTTTAACATCTCTTGAATGTATTTTTCTATAGTCCACAAAATTCACATCAGATCCCTTTCTTTGGGAGGGAAGTTGAAAATGCCTACATTTTCTTGGAATAGTGTAGGTACTCTTGCAATATTTTCTTCTCAGTCTCTAGAAAGTTTATTCCTGAAGGTAGGATTTAATATGAACTTTATCCTCTTAAAAGATAGTTTGACAAATGTGAAAAATAAAATCTATTTATCTACCAAACAAGTTACATCTTAACCTCTATGACCCCTGACTTATGTTTGTCATGTCTGTAAGGCTGTGACATCTTATTATCAACTATCCCTAATACGCAGTGTAGAGTAACACTGTCCAACAGAAATATACTGCAAGCCATAGATGCAGTTTACAATATTCTCATAGCCACATTTTAAAAGTATAAAGAAATATGAAATGAACTTTAGTCATATACTCTATTTAAGCCAATGCATCAAAAATATTATCATTTTAACATATAACCAATAAAAAGAAATAATGAGGTACTGTACATTTTTTATACTAAGTCTTCCAAATTTGGCACGTACCTTATATGTATAGTATGTCGCAACTCAGACAAGTCACAATTTCAAGGGCTCAATAGCTACATGTGGCTAGAGGCTACTATATGGCACAGTAGAATAGCTCTAGGTCTTGAAAAGCATTTTATTTTCCCATCCAGTCACATAGGGTCCAGCTTGCACTCAGTATACAGGAGACTTCTGGTTTGGGTCTCCTTTGGCAACAAGTACCAAGCCCCATATCCTTCCCATACACAGTTTCACCCCTCTGCCCTTCTCACTTGATCCTAGCTCACAGTCAGTCAAGTCCAGTCAGTATGCCCCTCTGTGGATCTAGAGGGGAGGTAAGATGCTTTTGAAACAAACACACCTATAAAACAAACACATCTTTCTTTTGCTAATATTAAATCTACCTCATACCATAGCCATGCTTTATTATTTGCTAATAGATTAAAAAGGGTTCTTTCTTAGCACTGAGCTCTCTCTCAGTTTGTTTGTTCTGGGATGGGAGTTGGGGGTAGCCATGAAGGAAGGGGAGGGGGAAAAAATCCCACCCTGCCCCATTGATTGTAGGAGGAGCTTCTCAAGGGTATACAATATTACCTTCCTATGCTCTCAGAAGTGACAGGAAGAGCAGCTCCCTTAGAAGCTGCCAGGAGCTACTACTGTAGTCTGAGAAACTCAAGGAAGTGGCCTTTCTTCAGGATCTTCAATAGAACCACGTGGTTTAGCTGTACTCCATGGTGCGTGGCATGGTCAGCATTTAAACTAGAATGTTTGGGCCTAACTATGTGATTCTTTCCCATGCAGGTAATGAAAGGCACAGATGGTAATTTGTTGGGGTGATCTCACAAGGTCCAAGGCCAGCACTGGTACCAAGATCTTTGGGGTTACTAGCCTGGGGAGCTGACACTGGAGAAGCCCGTAAGATGGAGACCTCTTCCTGGACCCGTGTATTTGATCCTATGATGAAAGTTTTGGGCTAGTATTAACAAGTATTCACTCTACGAAAATACCAGAAAAGGAAAGCACCTACCGCCCATCATGGGTACTTTATGAGTTTACTTTAGGCATGTGTCAGAATAGAAGGAGCCCCCAGATGAGAGGGAATAGGCATTTCCTGGCTATTTGACCTTGGGCAAGTCTCTTTTGGCATTGGGATCTGACACCCCATGCATGTTTAGGATCTGCCTGGACTTAGCATGCTAATAGCAGAGGCTGTTATGAGGAAGTGGTGGGAGATGAAGCTATAGAAAAAAATCTGGCCAGACCATGAAGGCCTAGGCTCTTCTTAGGGTAGAGACTAATTCCAAGGTTGGTGGGGACCAGAGAATTCTAAGTAAAAGAATGGCCACTGCACTTTGGGGTTATCACAGAACTACCTAGACTTTGTAGACTAGTAAAGATGATAATAGGTGCTATGAAGAAAAATTAAGAAGGAAAGGTAATAGAGAGAAGTGGAGGTTGGTGCTGGGATGTTGCCATTGTAAGTAGGGTAAGTCAGGGAAAGAAATCACATGACTGACTGGGAGCAGAGGACAGGCAGAGGACAGCCAATGCAAAGGCCCTGAGGCAGAACTGTGTATAGCATTTTTGCAGGAACAGCAAGGAATGCAGCGCAACTAGAGTGATTGAGGGGGAAATTGGCAGAAATTAAAATAGAGAGATTAGAGAGGTGGGGAACAGGTTGTGTAGGGCTTTGTGGACCATTGTAAAGACTCTGACTTTGAGTGAGAAAGGGAAGCTGTTGGAGAACTTTGAGCAGAAGAGTGATGTTATTTGATTCACATTTCAATATCGATGCTTCTATATGGGGAATAGACTGAAGATACACTAGGGTCAAAGCAGAGACTAGTTAGGAGGTTATTACATTAATCAAGGAGATGATGTGTCTGAAAAGAGCATGGTGAGAAATGGTCAGATTCTGGACATATTTTGAAGGTATAGCCAGTATGATTTTCAGGCAGATAGAATGTGGAATGTGGAAAAGAGAGAAGTCAAGGTTGATTCCAAAGTTTGGGCCTCAGCAACTGGAAGTCTAGAGCTGCTGTCATCTGAGATGATTGGAACAGGTTTGTTGGGAACATCAGAATCTCAGTTGAGGGCATCGACATTTTGCGATGCATAGTAGATATTCAGGTGGCAAAAGGAAATAGAGAGTTGGGTATATATCTTTCATATAGTAGGTATTAAATAAATATTTGTTGGGCAAAAGAAAGGCTCTGTTCATAACACAATGGTTGTAAGATCATAAAAAGACAATGTATATGAAATTGCTTCGCAAAGTATATCATGCTGTTAAAATGAAGAACAATTTGTTGCAGTAATAATATACTCAGCGGGCGAGGCAGAGAATAAATTTTTAAATTTTCCTTTAAAAATATTTGAAAGATTATAGCTAACAGATTGAGTCATTCATCCTAACAGTTTTTGATGAAATTCTTATATTGGGCTTTTATGGTCTGTAATTAATGTAAAGATGATTTAGAAAAAGGTAAACTCGTCAGAGAAATATTGTCTAATTGCCAAAAGGCCTTAGATTCGTATTCATGAATAATGGCAGAAACCAGTGGAATGAAGAGAATGAATGATGGGCCACCAACCCTCCTATATTTACTATATTCAAATAGTTATCTTGGAATCAGTTAATTTGCAGTCTTGGAAACCTATGAATCCTTCCAAAGATCAGATTATTTCTTACCCAGACAGATAATTATTGCCTTCCCTTTCCTGCCACTCCTCTAAGCATAATATTGAAGGATCAACTCTCTAGACCACAGAAACTTTAGAAGGGGGAGTCTTCCACGTAGTTGTGGAAGAAATTTAAAAGAAAATAATATGATTACCGTGACAAAACCCTGCATGAAGTAATCTGTCCATCTGGTCTTCAAAATTCATCCCCTTTCAGAGACAGGAACTGAGGGAAGAAAAGAGAAGGAATATGTATGTATATGATAAACACTTTGGACTGGAAAGGACACACGTCATTTCTGGTCACAACCTACTGGCCAGAGCTCATCACCAGGCCCCACCCAACAGCAAGGCATTGGGAAGTCTGGGGAAATTTTGGTGCCAAACCATTTGACATTCTGTGTATGTTCGTTATTTTTTTTTTTAAAGATTTTATTTATTTATTTGACAGACAGAGATCACAAGTAGGCAGAGAGGCAGGCAGAGAGAGAAAGGAGGAGGAAGCAGGCTCCCTGCCCAGCAGAGAGCCCAAATGTGGGGCTCAATCCCAGGACCCTGGGATCATGACCTGAGCATAAAGGCAGAGGCTTTAACCCACTGAGCCACCCAGGTGCCCCTGTTCCTTATTTTTAATGTCTGTCTCTTTCCACTAAAGAATTCCCTGGTGGTGGGATTTGTGCCAGTTTAGTTTACCGCTATATTCTTAGTGCCTAGAATAGTGCCCAGTAAATTAACTGACCAGAACATTTGTGGAATGAATGACTGAATGAAGGGATGAATGAATGACAGGCTCACAGCTTGTAGGAGTAGATGAGCCAAAAGTCTAGCATGGCCATGAGCTGAGTGCTATAATGGAGCTAGACAAGTCATGGGGAGAAGCACTCAGCTCTGCCTGGAGATGTAAGGAAGGCTTCCAGAGGGGTATTATTTAAATGGACTCTTGGATAGAGTAGGTACTTATCAAGGAAGAGGAGGTGAGAGCTGGCAGGGCCAGTATGTATGAGTCCCAGAGGCATATAGAGCTCTGCCCATTCAGAAGAGGGCCAGGCCCAGGTCCATCAGGATGGAAGTATAGAGACAGTGGAAGGAAATGAGGTCCAAGAGGATGACACGGGTCAGCCCCAAAAACTATACCTAGAAACTCCTAGATTAGTCCAAATGAAAGCTAATAATAGCTTGGACTAGAATGGTGGGTGGTGGAGATAAAGAGAAGTGATGGGTTTGAGAGATAGAAAGTCAAATCGACAGGAGTTAGGATAGACTGGACATGTAGGGTGAGGCAGGTGGTGTCAGGAATAATTCATGCAAGAGGAAGTGGCTTGGTGGTAGTGGTATTTACTAAAACGGGGAAGTTGGAGATGGCCTAGGTTTGTGGGAGAAGACCACATGATTTGATCATGGTAAATGTGAGGGGCCTTTGAGTGCCTGGGAACAGATGCCAAATAGGTCATTTGGATATGTGGGTCTGGAGCTCTAGGAGGTCTGGATTACAGATATCAATTAGGGAGCAAAAAAATGGTCCCTAATCTCAGCTGTGGAATGGTACTACCTCTCAAGGAAGGAGTATAGGAGGAAGAGATGAGGTCCTTAGGCATGGGCTCAAGTGTGGCTACTACTTAATGACCTGGTAGAGAAAAATGCACCTCAGCGATGGTTGGAAAGCTGGTGAGAGCAAGGAGAATGTGGAGTCCCAGCAGGCCAGGGAAGTGAGTGAGTCAAGAAAGCAGAGAGTGCAGAACTGGGTCACACGCTCCTGAGACACTACGTAAGATGACTAAAGAAAGTCTGCTGGATGTGGAGAAAAATCACCGTTTTTCTTAGTGAACGTGGTTTGTTTTGGTGGAGACAGGAGCTGGATGGGAATGAATGAGGAGTAGGAGGTGAGGACGCGGGCACAGGGAATGCAGATGGCATCTTGGGAGATTGGATGGTGAGGAGGAGGAGAGACCAAAGGGCAAGAGGGATTTCCGTTGAGAAATAGCTGATGGAGAGGAACTGGGTGTCCAAGAAGGCGCAGGGATGCTTGGGAGGTGGGATGGAATGGCCACAGAGAAGGGGAGCAGAGTCGTTCCCTGTAGTACAGGAAGAAGCAGGAGGAGAGAGGTGTGGGAGCAGCGGCTTTGTGTAGGTGGGGGTGGTGGGATGGGGGGATAGAGGGTGGGGGGGGTGGAGGGGTGGACAAGTGGGGGTGGGGCTTCTGTAGAGACACTGAAGGCAAGGCCTGGGTGGGGAGGGGGTGAATTCAGAGGCTTGGCCAGAGTGAAGTTTGAAATTATGAGAATTATTATTAGGTTAATGATTCTCAAGATGCCACCATTCCGCCGTCATTTAAGAAAATGGAATATGGAATGGAGTGGAATGGAGTGGAATATGGAATGGAGTGGAAAAAATGGAGTGGAATCCCCAGATTCCTTATATTCGTTTCCTGAGCTGCCATATCAAAACACCACAAAGGGAGTGGCTCATAACAGCTGGCAGAGGACTTTATTCTGTCACAGTTCCAGATGTCACAAGCCCAAAATCAAAATGTCAGCAGGGCCATGCTCCCTCCAAAGTGTCCGGGAGAAGTTCCTTCCTTGTGTCTCCTAGCATCTGGCCGTTGCTAATAATCCTGGGGGTTACCTACCCTTCCTTGGCTTGTAGATACTTGACTCCCTTCTTGGTCTCTGTCCTCACATGGCCTTCTCCTCTACGTATCTGTCTCCACATTTTCCTCTTTCTTTAAGAACATCAGTCACTGGATTAGCCTCCCCATCCCCCAGTATGAAGTCATCTTAACCATGTATATCTGCAAAGACTCCGTTTCCATATTCGGTCACATTCACAGGTTTCAGGTGGACATGAATTTTGGGGGGGGGCGCTACTCAATTCAGTATTTTACCAAGACACGAGACAATATTCACGCATTTTTCAAGTATTTATAGAATTAAAATAAGAAACCTTTAACAGCTCATGTTTCTAGATCTCAAGTGCTTCAGTGTCGCATACCCCCTATAACAACTGTTGTGGTCTCTCCACTGTCCCCATGTTATGGATGAGGAAACAGAGGCTAAGAGTAGCTGAGGGCCTGACCTAGGGTGAGACCTGAACACAGGCACCCTGACCTCAGAGACCTGTACACTCAGCTCTATCGCCCACCTTTTTCCAGGTAGCCCTGAATTAATCAGCAAAAAACTTAATCAGCTACTTATCCATCTCACTACCCTTCCCTGCCAACATTCTTTGCTAACATCCCCTTCTCTACATACAGTGCTTTATACACTCGGCAGGTACAGCTCTGTGTGGACAGCCCATGCGTGAGAGCAGGAGCCTGCAGTGTGGTCCGTTTGGGCTGGCAAAATACAGACAGCTCTCCCTTTTCCGGTAATTTCTGGGGTTGGCTTTCTTTGCCCCAGGTCCACAGTGTCCGATTCATGGAGTTCTCGGAAGTGGAGAACCAGGACGACTACTACAGCATGGGGGCTGCGTCCGTCTTCACGCAGGACCCGCACGGAGTACATATCATGTACGATGAAGCCTTGAGCGATCTGAAGGAGCTCGAGGCAGAGGTGCTACTTGTGGCCAGCCATTACATCGAGAAAGAAAAAGGTCAGAAGCCAGATTTTGAAAAAAAATCAACCAGCCAAACAAACCACGAACACTAAGGGCTCCATTTAACACCCTCCGCCTCAAAATAGAAATGCAGATCCAAGAGTATCTGAAAATTCAGTAAGCACATGCATCTCCCCGATATGTACCTGCTTTAGAAAAGATACGGTCCTGTTTCCAGCTCAAGTCCCTCTTCTTGTGGAAGACCGGAACTATTCTTTTGAAGCTTGATTATAATTCTTACTGTTGTTGAGACTTACTCGTTCCTCAGTGGCATTTCTGCATTACTCACTGGGTACAAGGGCTGTCATGCCAGGCCTTGAGGGAAGCAAAGTAAGCAAGTGAAGGTAATGATTTTTTTTTTTCCCCTAAGCAACAACCAAAAAAAAAAAAGATTAACCTTGGGCAAGCAGCAATTAGAAGCAGACACATCCCTGGGTTCCTGACAAAAAAAAAAAAAAAAACACCAGGATGCAAGAAGATCTGGGTAGGAAAATGCCAGATAAGCACCAAAGGGAGAAATCATTAGGGTAATCAAATAACCTATAATATGTATTCTCTACATCCTTTTGGCATCACTCAAATGTATCCAATTTTAGAAATAGGTGAGTGGGGCGCCTGGGTGGCTCAGTGGGTTAAAGCCTCTGCCTTCGGCTCAGGTCATGATCCCAGGGTCCTGGGATTGAGCCCCGTGTCGGGCTCTCTGCTCAGCAGGGAGCCTGCCTCTCTGCCTACTTGTGATCTCTGTCTGTCAAATAAATAAATAAAATCTTTAAAAAAAAAAGAATATATGTTTAAGAAATAGGTGAGGAAAGAGTAATCCTTCTGGAATAATATGACAACACTGGCATTTGATTTGGAAAGAGCTTAAGAGTTTCTAGACACATTGCAACACCTAAAAGGAAATTTAGCAAGAATTTGTGCTATTTTGTAATTAGGTAGATGGTAATGAAGACGAATTCATTTTCATATTGATATAAAATGCTACTCAAAGAATGTTTGACAGTTAACCTCTTAGAGCCAGGCAGAATTCACTTAACATTGGCTTGAACTCTGCCCTCTTTGCCACAGACCATTGGGTGTCTGAATCATGAGATGCGCTGATGTCATCCAACATTCCAGGGCATTTAATTGCAGCGTTTGGCTTTTGTCTTTCCTTTATTCTACATACTAATGCATCACTTCTATTGATACTCATTTATAATCCAATGCAACTATTTCAAGCTGCTAAGAATTTAATTTGATGGAAACAGTCAGTAGTCATCAGCCCCAGGAGCTTCCTTCAGCTGAGCTTGTCAGTATGGGCAAGCATCCATTGTGAAATGATTTCCCAACTGCGCTTGAGAAATTCCGATCAAAATCTTTCTCTTGTTCGGTACCCATCATATATAATTATTGAACTCAAAGTTCAGCTCCTGAAAATCTCTTACTTTTTTGATATTTCATTCTGAACTAGACCACTCAAATATTAAAAGCAACAATCATGCTGATGCTGAAAATTAACATTCATGTAGTAGGAAAATATTTTAACAGAATAATTACAATGATTACCCTTATTGATTTAAGTTAGTAATTAACCCAATTAAGGGATATCTTAGAAACTTCTCTGAAGAGTTTTTACTTGGCTAACATCACTTGAAATAGCAGGTTAAATTGGGTTTGTTGTTAAACCACCAGGGACCTGTTTTTAGAGAAGGAGAAATGTGTGTTTGGCCTTTAAATTATAGGTCTGAGGACATTTTAGTGAAGATTTCATATTAACTGAATTTTGGTTACATTTCTAAAATTAGTCTTTAAAACTAAAATTGAAGAGTAAAGACAAAAACCTCTACTGACTCAGAAGTCAACAAATATGTCCCAGTCGTTGCCAGTGGCCCTCCAGCTGGTTCTTAGGAATCCCTGGGACTGATTCAGTGTTTTCATTCCTGAGATGGGGCTGACAGTTCAAGGGCTGCTTTTCTAATAAGAGTAGCTTCATGGAAAGGCCTGTCTCTGGTCATTCTCATCCCCTTCTCTCTTCCAGGTCACAAAGAGGGCAGTGAGTCAAATACTGGCCAGGACTGGGGACGGGCCCATGCAAGTGTGGACAGATTTGCTGTGCTGTATGACATGTGGACTTGGGAAGCAGCCCTTCTAGAAAACAAGCGCCAGGTATTTTTCCCTAGAAAACAAAACATCTGTTAAACATTTCTTACAAAAGCCAGTATTGAAAAAACAGATGAAAAAAACTCAGTGGGGCTTTCAGGCAGTCTCCTAATAAAATAAATAATTATTTTATTTAAATCCTCTCAGCTGGGTGTCAGGATGTGAATAATACATTTTATTTTCTTTACTGTGGTTCCTTGTTAATAAAAAATAAAATGGGAAAGGGGCGCCTGGGTGGCTCTGTGGGTTAAAGCCTCTGCCTTCAGCTCAGGTCATGATCCCAGGGTCCTGGGATCGAGCCCCGCATCGGGCTTTCTGCTCAGCAGGGAGCCTGCTTCCTCCTCTCTCTCTGCCTGCCTCTCTGCCTACTTGTGATCTCTGTTAAATAAATAAATCTTTAAAAAAAATAAATAAAATGGGAAGGATACCTCTTTATCTTACAGGCATCATTTGCTAGAGGTCTGTATAATTTAGGCTTTTATATATGTGTTTAGTGAGAATGGGTGATGGTTCCATTCACATTCTTTGTCCTGTCAGGGACAAGCCTCATTCTGCTCAACACAAACTGTTATTAGAGCCTTTAGAAATACACCACCTGTGGGGCAAGCAGCTGGTCGAGGTATGCTCAATGCAACAAGTTATGAGGGTGAGTTTAAAGCAATGAAACAGAAGGTTGCTAAATTCATCATCGCATCACCAATGGCTCACATCCCAGTAATAAATGAAACACCGCTCTTCACCTGTGAACTCGGCGTGGATTATGAGCCCCTCTGATGGTCACCAACTGTTGTTGGGAGTTTATCCATCAAACATTAAGTATTTACCCCGTAGCCGGTACTATCCAGACATTAGGAACCTATGGATAAATACAAGAAGGTAATCTACCTTTAAGGAATTTCTAGTCTATAGAACTTGATCCCATCTCTGAAGTAAAAACTGCAATCCGGTGATGGACAGCTTACAGCTAAGGCACACGTGAGATCCCCAGAGACCACAGTGGAGGGAGCAATTTGCCCTGTGGGGGGCTACCGGAGTAAAGGAAATGTTGGCAAGTTTTCTCAGAGGAACAGATAGTGAATCCTGTTCCTAAGAGATGAGTCAGATGTTGTCTGTCAGAGAAGGAAAAATTCCTAAGCGAGGGAAACAGCATGAGGGATGTCAGGGAGGTGTGAACCAGGGAACAAGAAGGCTACTATGACTAGGCGTGAAGGCATGATGACAAACGAGCAGAGTACGTGTCTGGGTACAGCTGTGAAAGGCCTGCTAATCTACATTTACAGTGTATTTTATAAGCAAAGAAAGAGTCATTAGTGAGTTTCAGCAAAGGCGAAATATGATCGTAGCCCTGTTTTCAACAGCTGCTCGGGTACTAGTGTGGAGAACGGATTAGAGCAGAGCTCTTGCGGAAAACAGGTGCCCTTGTTGCAACAGTGACCTGGAGAGGTAGGAGGGGACCTACCCCAGGGATGGAAGAGTGAGAACAGGAGGAAGGGGCAGGCTCGAGAAATCTTTGCAGAAATGGTACAGAAACGGACATGGCAGGATTTGAAGCCTGGATGTTGGGGTGAGAGAGTAAGGAATTAAAAATGACTTTCTCGGGGTCAGGGAAGAGGCTATTAACTGAAATGGGATGCAGGAGGAGGGGCACTTTAGAGGGGAAGATAGTATTACTGAGTTCGTGGCAACAGGCATGTGAGGAGAGTTTGCTAAAACAGGTGTGCATGTTTTGTGGGAGCTGGAGGTTTGAAAGTCAGGAGCAGGTATGAGCTGAGGTCTGGAAGGGAACATTGAACCACAGTAATGAATCAAATGACTAGGAAAAGCCAGAGATGTCAAAGCTGCCGCCGTGGGTAACACTTCAGTTGTAGGGGGAGGGCATAGAATAAGAATCTACGTGGGGCGCCTGGGTGGCTCAGTGGGTCAAAGCCTCTGCCTTCAGCTCGGGTCATGATCTCGGGGTCCTGGGATCGAGCCCCGCATCGGGCTCTCTGCTCAGCGGGAAGCCTGCTTCCCCCTCTCTGTCTGCCTGCCTCTCTGCCTACTTGTGACCTCTCTCTCCCTCTCTGTTAAATAAATAAATAAATAAAATCTTAAAAATAAAAAAAAAAAAAATCTACGAGAAGAAAAAGAGGAAACCAAAGAAACTGGAGGAAAAAAAAAGGAAAAGTGGGTGAAAGGCACAAAGGGGGTTTTTTTTTTTTTTTTTTTTTTTTTAAGTAGGAGAGGATAGTTACTAGTGTGGAGTGCAGAGAAACATCAAGAGAGGTGACTCCTGAAGACGGGGGCAGTGGGGTCAGTCATCAGGGTCATTGCCAGCTTCGTAGGACTCTCGGGAAGAGGTATGGGGGTGGAAGGCAGCTTACAGTGCACTGTGATGTGGTCAGAAGATGGGGAAGTGGGAAGGTTTTCTTTGAACTGTTTTTCTAGAAGATTAGATAGTTTACCATTTCATCTACTTTCTGGTCTATTACTCATAGAGATGTAGGTCACCCAATTTTTGAAAACACCTGGCTGGGCTTAAAGGGTGGGAGCCTTGGGCTTTGAATACTGTTCCTCTTTTCAAGGGGAACTGGCCTCCGCAGAGTTTGCGTCTGCAACCTTGACCTGGCAGTTAGAAACTTTGATCGACTGAGAGATCTAGACTCAGAATGTAGTAATTGAAAAGGCCACATTAAAGGTGAATAAGACAGAATCTCTAAACTCGACAAGTTTATTGGTCCAGACATATGAGGTTTTAGCAGCCCTCCTTTTCTGGACTCTCTCTCCCCGCCTCCCCTTTCAGGGCTCCTAGGCCTCCTACAGAGGCCCCAGGCAGGACTCAGTGCCCAGAGAAGAATAGAAGGACAAAGAGGACTGAAAAACAAACAGATTTCTCCACACTTTGGCCCACGCTTCATTCTGTGCTAAGCTACCAGGGCTCTCCACCAGTTTCTTCTATGATAAATGAAATTATTTTAACTTAAAAAAAAAAAAATCATTGAAAATGTCTCCCTCCTTTCTCACCCTGACAATACGTTCTCTATAAAACCTGAGCCATCTATGCCAAAACTGTGAAAGTGTGGCCTTCTAAATCAGAAAGTCTGTCAAAAGAGCCTATTTTTAATGGATAAACCATATTTTTATCTAGAGTACAATTGATTTCTCCCAGTACTGATTCTCCTGCCAAGTTTGCTCAGCTGTTTTTGATTGTTAAATATATTGGAATCACCAGTTAGGAATTGCTCAAACACACTGGGTTGTCTTAAATCCTTAAAGTAACCATATTATGTATAAACATTCATAAAATTAGAGCTGATATGAATTTAGGTGGATTAAGAACTCTTAGAGAAGCCAGGCATCAGCTGTACCAGCCACTAAGGGACACGTGGCCCAAATGCTAATTCTGTCTACAACCACCAGAGGACACATTTTTCAAGGCAGTTTGAATAAATGTTTGGAGCACTTAAAAACAAAACAAAACAAAACAAAATAAAACTGTGACAGATTGTGCCTAGCACTGATTTTCTCTTTTGCACTTTCATTTGACCTAAAATGCTATTTTTTAAAGTTTCTTAAGTCCCAGAATATAGAGTTTGGGGTAAAAATAATATAAACACAGTCAGGTTTGAGATTATTCATTTTGGCTTTTTTTTCCCTCTATTTTCTCCAATATTTGAGACTTCCCATCAGTGTGTACCATATATTATTTTGCCTGAGAGTTGGCCCTTGACACACAAAGGTGACATTTGACAGGCTAGGAAGACTTCTTAGACAAATACCAGCCCAGAGTTTAAATGGAAATGGGCCAGTTAGCAAACAGATCATAAATAGAACCTTGTGAAGCAGAAAGATCATGGTCTTACCCCTGTTGGGAAAGAATTAATAATAAAATTATGTAAGGGCCCATCTGAGAGTGTCTTAAGGTTGAGGTCAATGCTTGAGAAAGCCTATTCAATGTAAAAAAGAGAGCCACATTTTCCTTTTCAAGAGCTTAGGCTGCCAAGTAAAACGTGACAGTATCTGGGACATACTTATACTAAATAAGTTGTTTGTTGTTTATCAGAAATTCTAGTGGAACTCGATGACCTCTAGGTTTATTTGTTAAATCTGGCAATCCTATGAACAACACAAGTGAGCTTGGCCTTTTAGTGCCAACCTCTGCAAGCTGGTATCAGCAGATTGAAATCACCAGCAAGAACTCTCCCCCACTACCTTTTGCCAAATAGCCAAACAATAGGACGCTTTGTACCAAAAAAACAGGTCAAGGCAAACAAATGCTATAAACCGGCTCCTGGGATTGCCTTGGCCCAGTCAAAAAGGCTCAAGTTAGTCCAGAATGATTTGGGGAAGTAATTGTTTCTTTTCTGATTTCCCCCCACTCCAGGCTATTGAGTGACACCTGTCTTACCCACCACTCCTCCATTTCTGCTTTGTCTTCCGGTATTTAATCATTGAATGGTATTCTAGAGTAGAACTCAGCAGGGGGAACAGGTAATTTAGATCACCCTGCTTGCTTCATTTTCCCTGGGACTCATTAAAGGCCTGGCAATCTCTACCTTCCTTCATTTCTAACTCTGAGATATGTGGGTCTCTAACCTGCAGAACGCCTTGTGTGTTCTGAGCTTTTAGCCTCCTTTGGTGTTTTCCTTTTTGTGCTAAGGTTGACCTAAGGTCCCTTAGACCAATGTTTCCCAAAGGGTATCCTGCAAAACCACATGCTAAGTAAAGTGCCCCAGGCCCTCCCTCCTTATGCTTTAGCACTGAAAGCCAGATACTGGACATCTATTAATAAGGCAGTATTTGATTCCCGGTCTGCTACTGATTCTCAAGTGTTTACCTCTTTCCGGAGCCTTGGAAGCCATGAGTGGCAAGACAGAGACGCTCCTGGCTTTTCCGTTCACGTGGGTCCTTTACTCCCTTTTGCCTCCTGCACGGTTGTCACCTGTATTCAAGTGGGGCCTGTACCTTCTCAGTTCTTTCTGGTTTTGCATTCTTAGTTCTGGGCTCCAGACAAAAAGAGGGGCTCTTGTCTCCTTTTAGGAAATTTCTTCGTTTATTAAGAGGAGGGCTGATTCCTGGCCTTAAGCCACGGGGAAGACCAACACCCAAGCAAACAAGGCACACTCTTTCTCTGATGCACGTCAAAGTGTGCTGGGCTGTCAGGTTGGTAGAACCTGGAACCTCAACATTTTACTCCTTGCTGCCAGTTAGAGGCACACACTGGGCAAGCCGATGTGACTTGGGAGATATGGCTACAATGGGAGCTGACACCTTCCAGAACACTGAAACGTGCCTAAGAGGAGCTAGCGAAAGAAGACTGGGGAGGGGGGCACCTGGGTGGCTCAGTGAGTTAAAGCCTCTGCCTTCAGCTCAGGTCATATTCCCAGGGTCCTGGGATCGAGCCCCGAGTCGGGCTCTCTGCTCAGCGGGGAGCCTGCTTCCTCCTCTCTCTCTGCCTGCCTCTCTGCCTACTTGTGATCTCTGTCTGTCAAATAAATTAAAAAAAAAAAAAGAAGAAGAAGAAGACTGGGGAGGGACATCTTGAGCAAAAACTCGAAGGGAGGATGTGTTGGATTGGATGCGCAGAGGAAAGGAATTTGTTCTGCTGTGGAATGAATGAATAAAGCCTTAAAAGCTTCCAGTCAGAGCCGACTTATCCATCAGGCAATGTGGACTCGGTGTTTAGGACCTAAGAGCTTTGCAGGGTCCATTGAAAATGTTTGCAATATGAGGAAAAACACATGTGTGACTCTGAAATCTGAAAAGAAAATACAAAATTATTATCAATAAACGCTTAATTGCGTGTCAGCAAAATGTAAAAACGTGGTAACTGAGCACTTCTAAACATCTCATTACATTTGAAAATTTATAGATCAGATCTTCTCACTTCATAAGAACCTCTGAACGTATACTGCCCAGAAATCATAGCTGATCACTAATTCAGTGTGTTGCTCGTAGCCAAATAACTTAAAAAGCAAGATTATGAATATCATTTAAACTTTTTACAGGAAAGTACTTGATTGGGATATGAGTACATCTTAATATATTTAATATAATGTGCGACAGCCCTGAACCATAATTACACTGTCCAGAACTGCTTATCTTGCCCTTAGGTCCCTGTTTGGGATTCCAGCCCAGGGATCTCTCAAGAGCATTTTCCTGATTAGCACCATGACTAATTGCACACAAGCAGAATTTATATACAGAACATAAATTCTTAAGGTCACAGAAAAATGTAAAAGCAAAATAAAGAGCGTCTCTGAATTCCCACACTGAGAGCCCTCTTCCATGGTTACTGGGTTAGTGTTTGGGAGCTTTCTTTGGTTTTTAGAAAAGGTTTGTGACCTCCACTAGAAAAGAAATTCCCTCAATGCCTTTGAGAATTCTGGATGCGAAGCCCTTCCTCACAGAGTCCTGTCTGGGATAAATGCCTCTGTAGTTAGGGGACTTTCACCTCAGCCCTCCTTTCTACCACCCCCTATCATTTCTAGGTGAAATGTGGGCCAACTATTAAAGAAAAGGGGTCAGAAATGCTGCTGAGCATAAGAAGATGGGAGGAAGGGGTGCCTGGGAGGCTCAGTTGGTTAAGCGTCTGCCTTTGGCTCAGGTTATGATCCTGGGGTTCTGGGAGGGAGCCCCACACCGCTGAGCAGGGAGCCCACTTCTCCCTCTCCTCCTGCCTCTTCCCTGCCCCCGGCTTGTGTGCTTTCTCTCTTTCAAAAAAATTAAAAAAAAAAAAAAAAAGAGGGGAGGAAGCCACTCCACGTTTGGTGCTGGAGTAAAATGGAAGCGGAGAATGAGTCTTTGGGGAACGAGATTGCAGATAAATACATCTGACCAAGTGACATTGCCTGCCCCGTCTCATTGAAGCTTATAAGGATTAGATGTTATATTATTCATTAGATACCCCCCCCCTTATTTGTGGAGAGCGGAGGAAGAGGGGACACAGGCAAAACTAGTGTTCCTTGCTTTGCCCTCCCTACCTCTGTGGGTTTACTAAGGGCCCTGGGGTTGCACTGGTGCTGCAGCAGCCCGCCCCAGGCTGGTACCCGGAGGGTCTGAGCCCTTCTCTCTGCTGCTGATGCCCCGGGAGGCTTTCCAAAGTCGGGGGTTGGGGTGGGGGCTCCCCTCTCTTTGCGGGAGCCTAGGGCTGCTTCTGCTCTTCCCTGACCACAAACCTTATCCGCAGCTTCTTGACAGTTACTTCGAAGCCTACCAGCACGTGTTGGACCCTGAGGAGAGGTTTGCCTTAGCACAAGTGATCACTGACCTAATGCACAGGCGCCCGAGGTTTGATCTCAGCCGCCCTTATTTCCTTAAAGCCTACCGAGATGAGGGCACCTGCCTGAGGCTTCACTTGGAGCTAGTAAGGGGCATCCTCAATCAGCACGTAAGTACATTTGGGTTTTAAAATATCACATATGGGAAGACGATGGAAAACCCAGGCCAGAACCGAAAAGTGTTTTCCTTTAATCGCGTGTACAGAATCCGGGTTTTCTAAGGCAGCGCATTCGGCGTGTTTATTTGAAAGCTCATTTGCATTGTTGAATTCCAAGCATAACTACGGTCTTAAAAGGAAGTTTCCAACCCTAATTACATTTAATGCTCCACAAAAAATAGAAAGCTTATTTTCACTAGATGATAGAGTTTAGTGGTATTGAAAGGAGGATGAACTTACCCCCTTTAGAAGCTATGAATGTATAAAGTGAGGTTTATTATTATTTTTAAGTGTTGTGGCTATTTTTAGGACGCTAAAGGAAAAATTACAGTGTAGGTCCTCTGGGGGGAAAGCCAGTGGCAGGAAGTAAGCAGGAGATGGATTGTTACAGTGCATTTACCCTAGACCTGGTTAGAATTTTTTCCTTGTAGTCAATTATTTGACAGAAAGTTTTCCTGTGCCTCCTAAGATTGTCTGAATTTGGTTGCCTTTGCTTTTCTTGGCTGACCCTGGGCTCAGACTGAAAGACCAGTGTGTCTTCGTGTAAGTGGATCCTCAGGACCGTGTCTGGGTGAAAATTAGTCAAATAATGAAGGGACGCAAAAGACTGCTGTTCTTCGCATATCAGGGCTCATAATTCACAGCCATGGGAAAGCTTAACTTTTCTAATTTTAACTTTTATGCTACATTTCTAGATAGAGCGTCAGCGGGAATATGTCCAGAGGCTTTGGCAGGAAGGCCGTCCAGATGATAGCAGTAACTTTGGACTTCCCCTTAACATAATTTGCAAACAACTTATTTCCATCAACAATAGCTGGTATGGTGGCATTGTCTTTAGACATTTTACATTTAATCTCTTAGATAAGTTAAGTGTATGATGTTAAGTCTAAATAGTCTATAAAGTACCTCTCAATTATTTGGGGAGATAAGTGAAGGGGCTATAAAGGCCTTCAAAGAGGGATTCTCTCTCTCTCTTTTTTTTTTCTTAAGTTTTTTTTTTCTTAAGATTTTCTTAAGATTTATTTATTTGACAGAGAGAGATCACAAGTAGGCAGAGGCAGGCAAAGGGGGAGGGGGAAGCAGGCTCCCCACTGAGCAGAGAGCCCGATGCGGGGCTCAATCCCAGGACCCTGAGATCATGACCTGAGCCGAAGGCAGAGGCTTTAACCCACAGAGCCACCCGGGTGCCCCGTTTCTCTTGCATGCTCAATATCCATTTGTTTTGTAAGCATTATTGTAAGTAATAAAGAACACGAGGCTAGAATTTAAAATTATACCACTGGGTACAGAATCTTTTCCCTTGAGAAGTTCTATTAAAAAAAAGCAGTTACTCTTAAAATGTCATCCGAGGGTTTAATCTGAAGTACCACAAATCTATTTGATCTAGGAATTGTTTAATATTTTTACTTTTAAGTTATATTTTCATCTTTAAGTTGTTTTCAAATATTTGAATGCCAATTAATGTTTACAGGTTTACTTGGATGTGCTTTAAAGTGTCTCAAGAAGAAATCTATTTGATCTAGGAATCTATTCTAGTTTCTAGGAAACTATTTATTCTAGAAACCAAAAAGGTTTCCGCAGACTCACCTGTGACCCCTACCCCTTTAAGGAGCAAATTAAATTTCCCGAGATCACTCAGAGAGGGTACATAACTTTAAGTCACCCCCTTGACATGTAGTTTGAATTCCCATTCCTTCCTGGCTATGGAGGGTAGTGAGGGAATCGGCAAGTGGGTGATAAACCCCAGGCTGGTCTGCAGGGCCCGTGATCACAATCTTTCTATGGCCTTCAAAGGGTGGAGAACTTGTCCAGCTCCTTTCCACATGGAATGAGTACCTGTTGAGCTCCTATAGCTCTCAGGCCACTGTGCTGGGAGGTGAGGGCACAGTTGTGAACAATCAAGGCACGGCCTGGCGCTCCTGTCAAGTGCGCACTTTCAGTGGGACATTGCCACACTGGGCTATGGAATCCTCCTGGGGACCAGCAGGTTGTCGAGGGATTTCATAGCTTATGTTCCAACCTTATCCCTTGAGAAAGAGCCCTGGGAGTTCTAGGCACAAGACAGCATGTTCTCCACGGACCTTTCTCAGGAGTGTTTTCTTCACTGTAACAAGCTTGGGACATCAGTTGGGGCGGGGGGAGAGGGGGGCTGGCTATGGAAAAGACTCTATTGTTCAGGAAATGGGTTTTTGGCAGAACTTGGTAGAACTATATGGGTACAAAGACCTGTCAGAATAGTCTCAAAAGCAAATGTTATTTGCTCAATGAGATTCCTTTCCAACCTTAGGGTTGTATTTTTTAAGATCTAGAACAAAGAAGAATCCCATTTGAATAGGTTTAAGAAGTATTTACGCTCTTTAGTACCATGTAGATATGGAAAGGCCCTTGACTTATGCTGTACCCTCTATTTTGAAAGGAATACCAACAGACAAGCATTTTCTCATTTCTGGTCTCACCCATTTATAAGATAGAACGTTCTTATGGAGAACATGAATGATTCCAGCAGCTGTGTACAGAGTTTAAAATTTCTCTTTGTTTATTACCATTTTGGGGGAAAAGGATAAAGACTCATGGAAAAATATAGAAACCAGTCATGGACATTATTTGTTTAATATTTTTACTTTTAAGTTATATTTTCATCTTTAAGTTGTTTTCAAATATTTGAATGCCAATTAATGTTTACAGGTTTACCATATACAGTTGAAGACCCATTAGGGTAGTCTGGGTAAAGGAGATGTGTGATCTTTCTGTATACTGTTTCCTACCATTGCATGTGAATCTAAAATGGTTTCACAATGAAAAAGTTTAATTAAACAAGCAAAAAGAATCAGATTGGACTTTTAGGAATAAACTCTTACAGCTTCCACTTTTAAAGGGATTCACGTTAAAGCAAAGGGCATGTTGTATAATCGGGTGGAGTCTGGATGGCCTCTTTGGCCCCTTTGAACTTCTAATTTTTTATAATGCCCTGGAGTATAGCAGCTATTTTATAAGTCTTAAAAAATGAAAAATTCAAATATCTTTTGAAATAGATTAAGTTCTTCATTGTGTAAAATTGTCATTGATTGGTCCTCTTTTTAAGCCCAGCTTTGAAAAATATTTATCTGCTGGAGTTCCATCCTTCCCTGGGCCTGGCATCACTCATCTCCCGATCCCTTGAGCACCTCCTCCAGGAGGCCCGCCACACCTGCAGACCAACATCCGCCAGCAGCTTCACCTTGCTGGAGAGACGTGTGCTGCGGCTGGCCCTGGATACGTGGCTTACACCGGCCAGGCCCGAGTCCTGGTACAGCACTCAGCTCCAGAGGGATGTAGGTTCTCTGAAGAGGGTCGGGGAGGCGGGGGTTCCTTGGCAAAGAGAATGTTTCCACCCAGATGTTACTACTTAGCTATGTTTTTCTGTTTGGCTCTGTTCCTCGCCTGTTTGGCCAGAGACAGATCATAGTCCTAGGCCTTGCCAACATTTTTATGTAATTCTTTTTTCATTTTTGGTCAAAGTTTCTACTTTATCAGGATACTACTACATTTAGAAGGGAGATGTACATAGGTATGTGGGAAATGTTTTCAGGCCTAATATATATATATATATTTTTTTAACTATATATATATATTTTTTTAAAGATTTTATTTATTTATTTGACAGAGAGATAGAGAGATGATCACAAGCAGGCAGAGAGGCAGGCAGAAAAGGGGAAGCAGGCTCCCTGCTGAGCAAAGAGTCCGATGCGGGGCTCGATCCCAGGACCCTGAGATCATGACCTGAGCCAAAGGCAGTGGCCTAACCCACTGAGCCACCCACGCTCCCAACAATATATATTTTTATTAAAAATTATATATTTCATTTTCTCTGAGACGATTCCTGAAATTCCCTCTTTTTGTCCTGAGCTGAGATCTGATACAGGAGACAGAGAGTACTGAGTGAAGAGTCAGGGACCTGGACTCAAGTTCAGCCCTGCCATGAATTTCCTGCGTGACTCTGAACATGCCTCTTAGCCTCTCTGAGCTTCCCTTTCCTATTTTCTAACATTATGTTTGTGTATTTGAGGAGAGGAGGATGGAAGTGAGCTTGATGGTCTCTAAAGTCCCTTTCAACTCTAATGTTCTGTGGTTCAAACTGTGGCCCAATGATTTACCTGGTGTTTGTAGTTAGATTTTAATTCTTTTCTTTTTCTGTTAAGGCTATCACAGTTGAGCCTGGGTTCCAATTTGACCTTACCCTGTGTGGGTACATACTTTATGATGAAAGAACTTTTAAGGGCCCCAGCTGCAAAAAATATATCCCTTCCATGTGTCTGCCTTGGCCTCCTATTCCCTCTTGCCCAAACTAAAATTTTATTTTACTTTAATTGGTTTTAAATTGATCAAAAATTTTTATCAGAATTTTAGCAAAAGAAGAAAGCAAAAAAAAAAAATACCCTAAATATAATCACTCAAATGCATTCACAATAAATTCACAATTCACAAAAAATTCACAATTTTTCTGAACTCACGTCTTCTTCAAATGGGAGTTAACATAGTTACAATCATATCCTTCCTACCCTACCCCCTGTTTTCCTTAGTTAACATTGTATTATATATTTTTCCATATTACTAACTGGTCTTTATACTCACATTTATGAGTATAATTCCCTCAAGGGATGAATCACAACCTATCCAACTATTTCCCTATTGTTGGACATTCAAGTTGTTTCTAATTTTTCATCATTATTAAAAATGTTATAAGGTACATCTCCATGCTTACAGATTTTTCCATATTTTAAATCAATTCCTTTTGATACATTCTTAGAAATGGAATCACTGGAACAAAATTTAAGTCTTTGGACGCAATTTGGAATATTGAAATGCCACCAATAATTTAAGAGTACCGATTATGCCACATTATACAGTATTAAGCATAAGCATATAAGGTCTATATATATTTATGTAAGTATAAATATATCCGTCTCTATATATACATAACATTGCACTGTTGGCATTGCACTGTTAATTTTCATTTCCTTGGTATTTGTTGTGACTAAATATCCTTCCAAAAGTCTTGTTACAAGCTGTATTTTTTCTGACTCTTCTGTTCTTTCCCTTTATTTATCTCTTAGAATCCTAATGTCATTCCTGTCCACTTACATGAGCTCCCTTAAATGAAAGCCTTAACCCTTTTGTCTATCATATTTTCTGCAATATTTCTCCCTATTTGTCTTTTTATTTTTTTAACTTTATTTTCTTATAGAAAAAAATCCGTTGATCTTTTTCTTTGTGACTTCGTCTATCTTCCTAAATCCAGAAAGCAAATCGTTTCCCAGATGTTATATGTCTTACTTTTTTCTAATTTCCTAAGGTTTTGATTTCATTTTAAAAATATTTAACTTCTTGGGACGCCTGGGTGGCTCAGTTGGTTAAGCCGCTGCCTTCGGCTCAAGTCATGATCCTGGGGTCCTGGGATCGAGTCCCGTATCGGGCTCCTTGCTCGGTGGGGAGCCTGCTTCCTCCTCTCTCTCTGCCTGCCTCTCTGCCTGCTTGTGTGTACTCTCTCTCTCTCTGACAAATAAATAAAATCTTAAAAAAAAAAAAAATTTAACTTCTTTAGTATTCTACCTGGAGACAGACAGAGAGAGAGAAAGAGAGAGAGGGGGGAGGGTATGAAGGAGGGTATGGCTCAAAATTCCAAAATTACCAGTCATGTATCTTACTACCAGTTATTCCAGATTCTTTTCACATTGTATTATGGTACCAGATCTTTTAAATGTACTTTAAATTCTCTTTTAACTCATAGTGAATATTTGAGATACCTTTCTAGTTTCCCATTGATGCCATGCCAGTTTTAACTATTATTATTATTATTATTTTTAAAGTGGGTTCAAATTTGTATCCAGAAATGGTAAATCCTCAGATTAACCTTTTGCATTAGGCCAAAAAATGGGGCAGGTATTGCCCTCAGAAGACATGCAGAAATTAGTTTAATACATTTCTTTATCACTTTGGAAGACTCCAAGAATTGAGAAATTGCATCTTCAAGTAGAACAGGGCTATGGCAGATGAGTGGACAGATAAGGAAGCTGGTGCACCCTTAGGGAGCCGAGCCAGGAAAGGCAGATGTGGGGGCCCCAACTGGGTCCTTGCTGGGACTAAGTGGGAGGGTACCAGAGACGTCAGAGCAGAAGAGCCAACCATGCCAGGAGGGAGTTAAAGAACAATGCGGTTATTTCAAAAATTGCCCAGGGCTGGCTCTTCCACCAGGACACTGTAAAGGCAGCTTAGCGTATTGTTAAACTACTGAACTTGGAATCAGGAAGTGTACATCTACTCTTGGTACTGCTGTGTGACCTTGGGAAGTTGCGGTGTTGCTTCAGATTTTTCACTGATGAAATGGAAATCATGGCATCTGTGGTTCCTACTTCATGGGGGATCTTGTGAAGATAGATATGAGGTAATGTATGTGAAAACACGTAGAAATTTTGAAACTGCAGTTAGAAGAGGAAATTGTTATTATTATTGGCCTCTAAAATACTCGGAAAATATCAGGGATTTCTACTTCTGTTCTTTATTTTGGCTTAAAGTATTTATAACAATGATAACAGCAAATGCTATGTACCAGGCACTTTTGTATATATTAATCACTTAAATTTTCCCAACAGTTCTATTAGGTAATTATTATCTACTTGTTCCTCTCAGCTACTGTTACTATTCTTATCCCCCTTTACAGATGAGGGAACTGAGAGATAGCAAAATTACACAGGCTTTTAAGTGGCAGTGCTAGGACTTGAAGCCGGGAAATCTGGGTCCAGAGGCTGTGCCACCTACAATGTTTTTCTTAATGTAGGAACTTTCTTTTTTAAGTTTTTAAAAGTGCTTTTGTTTTCTTCCAGCTGTTTTCAGCTAAAGTAATGGGAGATCCCTTTCTTCTGGAGGAGATAGGTCTGTTTGCTCTCAAGTCTGCCGCAGACGAAGGACAGAACCAAAGCCAAGGTTCTTCTGTGCAGCTCCTGGAGACATTCTCGAAACTTCTGGAACTTGTGACCCTCCGCCACCGGCTAATAGAAATGAGTCTGGAGAGTGTACACTTAGCTCGGTCAGTAGAGTGACTAAGGATCTAGGTGGGGGAGAACAGACCACAGGTTTCTCTGTCTATAAGTCTTGTTCCCTTGGTGCTCCAGGGCAGCCAGAGTGAGCTTTCTAAATGGCTGAAATGACCACTTTGCTCACTTCTTCCTTCTCCACCCAGGCCACCCTACATGCCTCTCTGACCATTCATCTAGGCTAGGCCCTCTTCCCAGCACCTGGGCTTCCTCTCCATTCAGTACACTGCCTTTCACTTAGATGCTTAAAACTGGTTTATCAGTTTTCCTGCTGGTGTAAGCTCTCTGGTTGCAAAAACAGTGTCTATGTTCCTTCCTGTGGTATCCCATCACCCGGTATGAGGCCTGACCTACACGGTCCCTCTGAGTATTTACTGGATTTGCTCTTAATTATGATGAGGTTGAATAGCAGAGCAGAAGCAGTAGAGAGACTAGAGGGAGGTGAGGGAGGAGTCAGTGACAGTAGCCAGGCCTGCAGAGGTTTGGAAGATTCAAGAAGGAGAGACAGAGAGATTGAAGAGTTAGGTTTAAGGTATGAGTGTGTAGTGGATGGGAAGACATCCAAGTGGACATGTTCTATGAACAGGAAAGATATGGAGTTAAAGGGTCTGTTGCAAACATGTATGAGTTATGTTCTAGTCCTCATGAGAGGCCATACAGACCTAAAGGGTCCAGTCATCTACCACAAACCATTACTGAGGGCCTGCTATGGCCAGGGTCTGTAGTGGGGACTTTATGTGTATTTATTCATTGAATTTCCAGAATATCCTTACTAATATTTTACCAGCAAGGAAGTAGAGGCTCAGAAAGTTAAGTAATTTGCCTAAGATCACATAACTAGAAAGTACTAGAAGCAGAATTCAAACTGTAAGTTCAGATATTTATTCACTTTTATGATACTGCCGCCCCATAATTTTTGATCCTTGTTTTCAGGGAGCTCACAATTTAAATGTTAGTTCTACTACAGTTTAATATGATATTTTAGTCATATAACCAAAATACTATAGGAACTCAGAAAATGTATTATTTCATTTTTTATAAGTGGATCAAGGAAAACTTCATAAAAGAGGCACTGTTGAGGGATGAACTGTGTCCCCTGGCTGGTTTGTGTGTTCAAGTCCTAATCCCCAGTGCCTCAGAATGTCACCTCATTTGAAGGTAGGGTCTTTACAGAGGGAATCAAGTTAAAATGAAATGATTAGGGTGGGCCCTGTTCCGATATGACTCATGTTCTTATAAGAGGAGGAAACTTGGACACAGACATACAAAGAAGGAAGATGATGTGAAGACACAAGCAGAAGACGGCCATGTGTAAGCCAAGGAGAGAGGCTTGGAACAGATCCTTCCCTCATGGCCCTCAGAAGGAAACAACCCTACCAACACCTTGATCCCAGACTTCTAGCCTCCAGAACTGTGAGATAAATCTCTGTTTATGGTACTTTGTCACAGGAGCCTAGCAAACTAATAGAGGTGCCCTTTGAATTCAGCCTTAATGTACCAACTTTTCAAAATGGAGAAATGTGTTAGAATGTGGGTGTGGGGGGCGGGGAGACATTCTAGACTCTTAAGGCTGAACTAGCAGAGAGGCATCTGAACGGGGCCTTGCTGCAAGCCATGTAAATGTGGGAGCAGAGCACAGAGTTGGGACAGGACAGAGGTAGGCTCACAAGTTCTTATACTAGGGGGTGATCATTAGGGCTTAGGGTTGGAAGACGAACTCCCCAAGGAGGGGACAGAAAAGATGAGCAGAGGACCAGGTTTAAAATGTAACTTAAATACTAGGATTTGAAAATAAAAGAGGAAGAGAAGCCAATGAAGACTGAGAGATAGTGGTCATGAGGCAGGAGTGTGGAGACCCTGAATCCAAGAGAACAAAGATGTTCCTCAAAGAAAGGACAGTTACCAGCTGTAAAGAGCTCTGAGAGAAAATAGTGAGCCTTGTATTGAAAGCAGTATGGGTGACCCCATGAGCACTATGAAGACAGAAGCCAGCTTGCAGGAAATGAGAGTTGAGGAAGTGCCCAAGCATATCTCCTCCTACTTTAACTACTATATTTAACTGTCCATCATAGCGTAAAGTGGATGCAAGACCTTTATGACTCATTTACTTTATACTGGACTTGGCTTACTCTTGTTTTGACTTTTACTTTTGTGCTTATTCAGATATTTTGGATTTTCTTACCACTTACTTTTCTTTTAGTGGAAAATAATAGCAAATGCTCTTGGTTCTTTATCTAACCCCCCCCCCGCCCCCCGCTTTAGTCTCTATAAGGAACTGGCATGGGAGATGGGTTTTGAAGAGTTCCATTTGTATCTGAGGCCCATTCACTTTGAATTTGCATCACTCAAAGACAAAGTGGACCACCCACCTCCTGTCTTTATCACCTCTCTGCTGGAGGACAGTGATCAAGTGGACAGGTGAGCCTTGAAAAGGTCAAAGTGAAAATAATGTAGTGGTAGAATAAACGGTCAGTGAAAAATAATTTCTATCACCACTGGCACACAAATACAATTTTATTTCCAAATTCCCTCTCTTATATTCTATCTGTCATGATGCCATTTCTTTTTTCTTTTTCTTTCTTTTTTTTTTTTTCTTTACTAAGGGGCAGGGGAGATCTCAGTGAAGGGGGATAATTGAATTGAAAAATACTGATTAATGGAAGAATTGGATCAGAGAGCTCAAGTGAGATAGAATCACAGGCTCAGCCACTGCCCAGGTTGACCATGTTGCTTCTGGGTATAAGGAGGTGGGAGGGTTTGTCTCATGGGGCAAGAACCATGGACCAGAAGTCCAGATCACTTCTTACTTTCCCTGGAATGAGGAAGAAGTCAGTCAAATTTTTTGAGCAGCTGTTTCCTTGAAACTCTAATATCATGTACGAATCTAACATGCATGGCAATATCTCAGTCCGACTCTTTTGCTGGCCAGCAGCGGAAGCAGACTCAAAGCAATGAAACTTCTTCATGCCCCATAGGTTCAGCCCGTTGCTGGAAAGAAAACACTCTGGCTAGTGGCAGATCATGAATCTACTTAGTTGGGAAAAGAATCCTTTTCCTCTGGGCTGAGAAGAAACCTCTGTCTCCCTAGTCTCTCCTTCTCTTCTAATCTGTCCTTCCCCTGAGGGTCCCAGCTCTGTCCCTGGAGATTCCTGGTACTGGCCCCACACCAAGGAAAGCAAAGATGACTCCAAGGGGGGAAAAGTCACCTTTGTTTTGCTAGTGTGGCTTAGCGCTCAAAATGTAACTTTGATGTGTTAATACGTTAAAGGACTCCTCTCTTATCCAAAAAGACCATGGGCTGAAATGGAGAAGGTTAGAATGATAGAGTATGAATAGAATTTCTCAACCTTGGTATTATCGAGATTTGGGGCTGCGTAACTCTTTCTTAGAGGGGGCTGTCCTGTGCAGCAGAAGTGGCTTATCAGCACCCCTGACCATTGCCTCCTAAATGCCAGTAACACATCTCCTTCCCAACTGTAACAATCTCAGATGTCTCCAGACATTTCCAAATGTCCCCTGGAGGCAAAATATTTCCTAATCTAACCTGTCGCACTAGCTAAACCAAAAAGAGAATTTATCATAAGGATATAGAGATGTCTCACAGAAGGCAGGAAGGGTGATTGGGCCTCAGATGAGGCTAACTAGGTCTCCAACCTGGAGCCAAGCTATTCTCTGGCTCTTCAAGGGCCTCCTATTGGAGCTGGTATTCTACACTGATGTGAAATAGGGCATATTTTTGTTCAACTGGAATCAACCAATCAGCACAAAGTGCTCAAATCATCTGTGACCTGGTCAAGCTGTGATTGGTTCTCCCAACAATGACCCAACACTCCTACAAGATCTGGGAGCCTTCTGAGTTACTGGGGGAAGGTTTATGCATCCAAGGATCTTGTCTCTTGAGTTTGCATTTATTTTATGTATGTTAATTCCTTGAAGTTGACACTTTGGAGTGCTGTTATAACAACAACATATATCAAACATGAGCATAGTGGCTTACATTTTAAAAAGCATGTTCATGCTTATTATCCCATTTAATATTTGCCTTAACCCTATGAGATAGGTGATATCTCCCATTTACAGATGAAGAAACCAAGATTCATAGATGCTAAGTTACTTGACCAAATCTCATAGGTATGGACAAAGGACCATATCCCAAGGCATAAACATGGTTGCAAAGAACATTTAGAAAATTATTGGGGCAATGGAAGAGAGCAAGAACTGGACGGCTTTTAGGGAGTGGACAAAGGGGCTTGAGTTAGTGAAGACCCTGAAGACATGAGGTCAAAGTTCAAAGAGAAACAGGATAAAACAGTAGAATGGGTTTCAAGAGAAAAGAATTTGGAGTCAGTGGTCACCACAAGGAAACTGCAGGGAGATCAAGTCCCATAAGGATTGAAAAGACCCCAGAGCCCTTCAGTCTTTGGGCAGAAATATCAAGTCTTATGTAATATCTGTACTTGGTATTATTGTGGATGTCTCAGAGCTGATCGCATACGATTTGGTCCCATCAGAAAGGGCATCTGTTGACTAACGGCACAGAACAACAGAACCATGTCATGTTTCTTCTTGCAGATATGCTCCTGCTACCCTTGTCTTAGCCATCTCTGAGGTGGATGATAACCAGGTTGGCAAGTTCAGCTTTTATACAAAGGAAGCCATCCTTAAGGTAAATTATTTTTTTAAAGAAAACTAAAGTAAAATTAAGCAATTTGCTTATGTATTTCTTTAAAAATCATCATATTTAATTCATATGTTTGGATCCCATGTAGAAAAAAAGCTTCTGGCTCATAAATAATGATGATTGCCTTGTCTTATTTGTTGTGCGTATTGGTCTGGTTTGAACCCTAGAGCCTGCACCACCGCTTGCAATAACTTCTGTTAGGTTTTAAAAGGAAGCACATGTTGTGAGCCATCTTTGTGCCAGGTTTTTAAAATATGCACCTGTTATTGGAGCTTTTACCTGATCTTAAATTTGGTGCTGTTATTTTTCCCCTTCCACTTAAGTGAATTTCTTTGCTCCTGTGCATGTATGTGTAGGTTTGTATTTGTGTATTTTTTACTTTTTGAATTTTTTTTTTTAAGATTTTATTTATTTGAGAGGCAGTCAGAGAAAGCATGAGTGGGGGCAGGGGAAGGACAGAGGGAGAGGGACAAGCAGACTCCCTGCTGAATGTGGAGCCCACTTTAGGACTCAATCCCAGGACCCCGAGATCATGGCCTGAGCCAAAGTCCATGGCCTGAGCCAAAGTCCGATGTTTAACTGACCAAGTCACCAAGGCACGCCTGTGTGTGGATTTTCTAAATGTTAATCTAATCTTGGCGGTTTTTAAAAGGCTGCCACTGGGCAGGTTTGCTAGTTCATCGGAGCCTACTCATCCTTTTCTGACCAGAAACCTGATGGTGTCCAGCTACAGGGCAAATCAGGCCAGGAGGGTGCCTTCCTGGGATGAAATGGTGCTTAGAGAGAGACCAGATTCACTCCTGTGGCCGAGAAGGAGCAAGGATCTCAGCTCACCGTGCAGTTTGATTCCTATGTTGACATGTTAAATAAATGGTGATCTCAAATCCTCTACTTCATCTCTTTCTTTATGGCAGAAATTCCTAATACCTTTCACATTTTCTTCCTTTAGCTCTTATTCCATTCAGGAGTGGAAAATATGCAAGTGACCCTTGCATGCCAAGCAGCTCAGAAAAATGCCTTGATGGTGGCTCTCCAGCAGGCATCCTTCTATCCCATGCCCCGGTGCGGCTGTCCTGCTGATGCAAAGGTCAGCCTATAAGATAGAGAAACCTGAGACATGCTACCATGATGACAGCAGATGCCAGGGTATCCCTTCCACCCCTTCTTCCCCTTAGCCTGCCCCCTCTCTCCTCCCTTCTTTCCTTCTTCCCCTCCTCCCCTTCATTCCTTCTCTTTCTTCCTTCTTTACCTTCTTTTCTATCATTTCATCTTCTTTCCTTCCCTCCTTCCCTCCTGCCATCCTTTCCTTCTTTCCTAATGTGAAGTCAACACATGAACAGATCCTTACTGAGTCTCTTAATTTTTAGTGATTTGCAAACAATTTTTTCTTTGTGTGTTACTGTGGTATTGGCTAGCTAGAATCATCCAGCAGAAAACATCTTGTTCCTCCACCTCGACCCTTTGTAGATAACTGACTTTATTGTTTTCTGTTTTATTCTTCCTGAATTGCTTTTTGCAAAAGTAAACGGAGATATTTGTCCCTTCTTTTTTCTACAAAAGGTAAGGCACAATGTATAACCCACCCCCCCGCCCAGATTTCTGCGGTTGTTATTGAGATCTAATTTACATAACATAAAATTTACCCCTTTAAAGTATATAATTCACTGGATTTCATAACCTTCATCACTATATAATTCCAGATCATTTTTCATCACTTTCAAAGGAAATCCTGTACCCATTAGTAGTCACTTACCATTCCACCCCCTTTCCTCAGCCCGCAGCAAACAGTAATGTACTTTCTGGCTCTATAGATTTTCCTATTCTGAACATTTCACATAAATGGAATCATTCAACATACAGTCTTTTGAATCTGGATTTTTTTCACTTAGCATGTTTTCAAGTTTTATCCATGTTGCAGAATGTAGAATCAGGACTTCATTCCTTTTTACTGATGAGTAACATTTCATTATATAGAGAGATCACATTTTATTTATCCATTCATCAGCTGACAGATATTGGGTTGTGTTACTTTTTGGCCATTATGAATAAGGCTACTGTGAACATTCATGTGTAGGTGTTTACAAGGACATATGTTTTGAGTTTTGTTAACCCTTGTTAATGTCTCTCTTTTTTTATTTTAGCCCTCCTATTGGGAGTAAACTGGTATCTTATTGTGGTTTTGATTTGCATTTCTCTAATTACTAATGACATTGAACATCTTTTCATGTGCTTATTGGCCACTTATATGTCTTCATTAGAGAAATTTCTATTCAAATTCTTTCCCTTTTATATAAAATAAAATTTGTCTTTTCATTATTGAATTATAAGTTATTTATGTATTCTGAATACAAGTATCAGTACATGTATACTTACCAAGTATATGATTTGCAAATATTTTCTCCCATTCTGAGGGCCATCTTCTCACTTTCTTGATGGTATCCTTTGAAGCAGAACTTTTTCATTCTGATGAGTTCCATTCATCCAGTCTTTCTTTTGTCATTTATTCTTTTGGTGTCATATTTAAGAAATCGTTCCTGAATCCAAAGTCACAAAGGTCTACTCCTCCATTTTCTTCTGAGATCTTAGGTCTTGCATTTAGGTCTATGTCCATTTATGGTTAATTTTTGTACGTAGTGTGAGGAAAGGGTCTAACCTCATTCTTTGGCACATGGTGTGTTGTCCCAGCACCATTTGTTGAAAAAACTCATCTTTCGCCATTGAATTATCTTGACACCTTTGTAAAAAATCAATTGACCATAAATGTAAGAGTGTATTTCTGGACACTGAATTCTAGTCCATTGTTGTATATGTCTATTTTTATGTTACTACCCCTGCTGTTTTGATTATTGTAGAGTTGTATTAAGTTTTGAAATTGAGAAATGTGAGTCCTCCAACTTTGTTCTCCTTTTCAGGATGGCTTGAGCTATTTTGAGACCCTTGAATTTTTATATGAATTTTAGGATCAGCTTGTCAATTTCTGCACACACACACACACAAAAATTTGAGACTTTGACAGGGATTGGATTGAATCTATATATGAGTTTGAATACTATTGCTGTCTTAAGTCTTCTGATCCATGAACATGGATGTCTTTCTATTTACGTCTTTAATTTCTTTCAACAGTATTTTGTAGTTGTCAGTGTGCAAGTTCTGTACTTCTTTTGTTAAATTAATTCCAAAATATTTTATTTTTTATTCTGTTATTATAAATGGAATTGTTTTCTTAATTTCATTTTCAGAATGTTTATTGCTAATATAGAGAAATGCCATTTGTTTTTGTATATTGATCTTATATCCTGCCACCTTACTAAACTAGTTTATTAGTTTTAGTAGTTTACTTGTATGTATGTATGTATTTCTTGGGATTTTTTAAAAAGACTTTATTTGGGCGCCTGGGTGGCTCAGTTGGTTAAGCAACTGCCTTCGGCTCAGGTCATGGTCCCAGAGTCCTGGGGTCGAGTCCCACATCAGGCTCCCAGCTCCATGGGGAGTCTGCTTCTCCCTCTGACCTCCCCTCTCATGCTCTCTCTCACTCTGTCTCTCTCTCTCAAAATAAATAAATAATAATCTTTAAAAAAATAAAATAAAATATTTATTTGAGAGAGAGAGAGGCACAAGCAGTAGGGGAAGGGGCAGAGGGAGAGGTAGAAGCAGACTTCCCACTAAGCAGGGAGCCTGACACAGGGCTCAATCCCAGGACCATGAGATCATGAACTGAGCTGAAGGCAGATGCTTAACTGACTGAGCCACCCAGGCATTCCTCCTTAGGACTTTTTATACACAAGATCATGTTATCTGCAAATAGAAATAACTTCACTTCTTCCTTTTTAATCTAGATGCCTTTTATTTCATTTCCTTGTCTAATTGCCCTAACTAGACCATCCAGTACAAAGCTAAATAGAAATGACAAGAGTGGGTATTACTATCTTATTCCTGATCTTGGGGAGAAAGTTTTTAATTTTTTACCACTAATTATGATGTTAATTATGGGTTTTTCTTAGATGTCTTTTATAGGTTGAGGACATTTCTCTCTATTCCTACTTTGTTGAATGATTTTATCATGAAAGTGTTTTGGATTTTATTTACATATACTCTTTGGGACTTTGTTTTTTCACTAAGCAGTATATCCTAGAAATCACTCCACATCAGTTCCTAAGGATTTTTCCCTACTTTTTTAAACAACAGTCTAGTTCTCATGTGCATGTATGTTCACCAGTAAAATTAATCATGGTTTTAGGAAATCAACTTTCCAGGTGGTCTTTTAACATTAAGTCTTATAGATTCTATACAGCTCACCATATTTAACCCTTATCAGATTTGCCAACCTCTATTTATCTATTTCTATTCTTCATGTTAATAGGAGAATTTGAATAGAATTCTCAAGAATACTCATTCCTCACTTCTACTGCCAAATAGTAACTCCCATAGAAATTAAATGCTGAAGTAGAAAATAAGGATAGAGTGAGTTATATTGATTTTTTAAAAATCTCAATCCCCAAAACCTTAATTCAGTCCCTCCTATAAGTTACGCTCATCAGATTATACTGAGGCACAGTTCATGCTCCTGAGGAATTTAGAGACCAGTGTATAGAAGGGGAACAGGCTCTCAAGTGGTTTAAGCACAAGTCATAAAAGAGGTTCAACAAGCTATAGAAGGAATTTAAAGAAAAAGAAAGGTCATATCTGGGGAACCAGGAAGGGCAGCACAGAGAGTGGGCATTTAGGAAAACCTGAAGGATGAGCTTTTTGACAGGCAGAGAGAAGAGCCCTCAGATAACTCATTCTTGGGAACAAAAAAGGGCAGATGGGTACTACCAAAAATGAAGAGCCCAGCTTGACCACCACTGGCGATTTTCATACATAGTTGACATAAGGAATTCTATATTCAATTCCTTTAATCTTATAAAGAATACTAATATATAAAACAGATATAAGTGAGGTTATTCTTATTGAAATGGAGAGTGAAAGTATTATGAGTTCCTAAGATCCATTCAAAAAACAAATGTTTAAAGTCACTGCATTGGAGCAAGAGCAGGAATAGGAAGACATTAGGGCTATATATATGAATGAATATGTGAATATGTATAGTAATATGTGAACATATAGTAATGTATGTGAATATATAGAAATACTGTGTGACTGTGTGTGTGTGTGTGTGTGTGTGTGTGTATTGCTCTCCTACAAGGGTGGGACAAGAAGAGGACTGATGATATAATAAGGAGGAATAAATGATGGAGACAATGAAAGGAAACAAGAGGAAATGAGGGAAGGGAGGAGGAAAGGAAAGAGATGAGAGACAGGGAGAGAACAAAATTGTATACTGCTACCAAAGCCAAAGGAGAAGAGAGTTTCAGGAAGAAATGAGTCACCAAAGAAGATGTACAGATGGTAAATAAGCACATAAAAAGGTGTTTAACACCTTTTTAGTTATTAGAGAAATTAGAGTTGTTAGGAAAATGCAAATTAAAACCCTAGTGAGAAACTACTGCACACCCATTAGAATGGTTAAAATTAAAAAGACTGACCATTTTGAGTGTTGGCAGGGATGTGGAAGATACGGAACTCTCATTCACAGCTGAAGGGAATGCAAAGTGGTCAATCACCTTGCAAGGCATTTTGACAGTTTCTTAAAAACTCAAACATACACTTACCATATAATCCAGCCATTCCACTCCTGGGTATTTACCCAAGAGAAATGAAAACACATGTTCATACGAAAACATACGTGGATGTTTAGTATATGTGCTGCCGAAGCGAGCACTACGCGGATGTTTATAGCAGCTTTATTTAAAATAGCCAAGACCTGGAAAGAACCCAAATGTCCTTAATCAAGTGAACAGATAAACAACTTGTGGTGTATCCATATAATGGAATACTACTCAGCAATACAAATAAATGAGTTAGTGAGATACAGCAATATGGATGAAACTATACAAAAAAAGAGTACCTACTGCATGACTCCATTTATATAAAATTCTAGGAAATGCATTCTAATCTATAGTTGGAGAAAGCAGAGAACAGTGGTTACTTGAGAAGAGGGGCTGGGTGGATGGGATGGTCATTATTCTGATTGCAGATTTCATAGTTGTATACATATGCCAAAACTTAAATATGTGCTGGTTATTAAATGTCAGTTATATCTCAGTAAAGCTATTGTTTTTAAAAGAAGAGGAAAAAAGAAAAAAGTTGAAAGTTGATAGAGTTAAATGTAGAGGGAAGAACCAGAAGAGCAGGGATTAGAATGAGGCCATTTGACATTCTCAAAAGCTCATTGTTGACTGGCAGAGCAGTCCTAATGGGCTCCATTTGCTTAGGCTGAACCACAGTGGGCACCCTGCCTCAGTTTTTCAGATCTTGCAGCCTTGAAGTCCATCAACAGTATTTCTTGAGAGGCCACTCTATACAGAGCACTCCAACTAGCTAACTTGTAGAATGGAGAATTTTTTCAGGGCAATTTAGACTACTGCACTTTATTCTAGAAATAGTTACGCTACTGCCTCACCCCTACATTGTGCAAATACTCTCTTCCCTTCCCTCTTGTACTCTCTCCTCTCCTCCCCACTGTTTTGCTTCTCCTCTCTCTCTTTCACTCCAACCCATCCTTACCCCATGTCTGGGGCATTTTGGGGTCAGTACTACAGGACTTACAAATCCAACAAACTTAATTCACTTTGGTTTAAAACATTTTAGGAAATAAGTTCAGATCTGAGAAATCATGGTGGAATGGGTCCAACCAGAAGAAGAAATTCCAGAATTGTGAATGACATAGAGAACGCACCAGTAGCCCCATATCCAAAAGTTCCAGACACCCTTACTCACCCTTCAGAAAGATTCCAGGCTACCAAAAGGTACTACCCTAGAAGTTTGTTTAAAAAATAACAAAAGTGTCTTCTTTTAAGTCAATTAATAATGTAGTGTTAGGGGATTAAAGGATGCCTAAATTCCCAAAATGACCAGCATGTGTTTAATTTTTAAGACCTTGTATGAAGACCTTGTATGAACACTGAGAAGGCTCAACTTCTTCCAATATACGGTTTATGGAGAGTCACTTGTTCCTTATTTCAGGCCCTTTTCTCCTCCCTTCTCCCTTCTCTTTGTCTCCCCTTTGTCTTCCCTCTCTCTATATTTTTCAAACCGAACAGACAGAACATAAGAAAGAAGAATATGGGCCTCTCCAAATCTTCCATGTTTATCTTAAACTGAAAAGCACAGAATTACCCTCACTCTTCGAACAAGGGTTTTATCAATGCTTAGGATAATAAGGTGATGCATTATCAGAGAGCGACACCTCTGCCGACAGATGGCTATAAATCAAGAATGTCCTATGATGTCCCGATCTCTTTCTACCATGACAGAGAAAGAGAGATATTTGTATTCTATAATAAATATCCTGAGTATTTCCTATAACAGTTTAATTTAATTCTGGCTAATTTAAAATGGGAAAAAGAAAACCAACAAGCAAAACTACTCTACTACCCAAGATATCATTAATCTGACATATGATCAGAGTTCGAATACCCTAAGTTCCCATTCCCAACATGGGGCTGGAAGATGTAAGACCAATACATCTAGCCAAGAGGACCCTTGAGAGGCTGCCACAATCTAGAAACCCCTGCAGTAGAAGCCAGGAGGGCACAAAGGGACCTGGGTAGTACAAACACAGCCAAGCTATGAAGTTGGGGCAGAAGAGGGACTGCTGATACATGCTCCAGGCATATGGGGGCCCTAAGAAGGGTGGTGACACATCACCATCCCCAGTGAATAGAATCAAATATGAAGAGGATGAAAACCATGGAGACAGATATCTGTTCTCCTTTTGCAATGCCCAGAACTCAGCCTCAGGTTTCCTGTCCTCCAGGGAGTTTTTGTGTAGTCTTCTTATTCTATGTCCACTTACTTCCTGCCTTGGGCTGAGATGTCTCTGTTCACTTGTCAGGGCTCCGGAGGCTTTTGTGTCCATTCAACTAGAAAAGGTGGGGCTGCGGGACGTGATGCTGAACGCCTTCCTCCTCAGGAAACAAACCATGGCCGACAGAATGAAGAGCCTTGTGAGTTCAGTGAGAAGGGCTCCCTGAAGCTCTCGTTATGTTTTACATTTGAGCCAATAAAAATTCTTAACTTGTAATCTCTTGCTTTCAGCCTATTTGGATAGACTGTTGAAAATTTAAATAACTGTAAAAGGGAATTCAATAAGAAATAGAAAGGAAGTAATTCGAGCTAATTGTAGTTCAGTTTTAAAAATATGCACAATTTTTTCCAAGACCACATTTTATTTTGTCACTTTCAAAATGGAACTAGTTTCAGCACCTGCTCTGGAACATTAGCCCACTCTCAAGTGACCCACAGATGTTCGGGGGGTTTAGATAATGTGAGCAAGGGCTCTCACTATCTAATTCTTGTGTTAGTTGATTTTCCAGATATTAGTGACATGTTTCTATTTAAGAGTTTTATGCTAGCCTAATCTGTTGGGAAATATGAAATTCAAATCTTTAATCAGTTCAAAGTATTGCTATATTTTGTGAATATGGATTCATTAATTTTTTGAGGAGAAAGTCATTAGACTAACACATTGTTATTTGGGAGAGAAATCACAGGTTTACAATCTCTAAGTTTTTTTCCCTCTCTGTGACTGAAAAGGAAAGACTTAAATTTCCCAAATCCCGTTCTACAAATGGGATGTGAGGGGGCCAGACTTCTAGACAACTGCTGAGCAATAATGGAGGTAAACGACTCCTTATAATAAGTAATTGAGATATTCAATTACCTTTTTTTTACTACTATATTCAAAAAGTACTAACCAAGTAAAAAATTTTATAGTTCATTAACTGATCTTCAGGATTATCCAATGCCATCAGATTAAAAGACACAAGACTCCTAGATCAGAGACAAAGAACTTTATGACTCACAGCAGAGCAGGTGACATGACCTTTATGTTTGTATCAGTTCTCTTTGCCTCCCAAGTCTCAAGGGGGCAACATGGAGAAGACCAGATGTGTGCAGTGGGTTTTTGTCCCAGTCGAATGACACTGAGCTTGAGGAAGCTTCCACTTTTTATGGCAAGCTTGCCATTTTTCCTGGAGGGAGACATTACCCATCCTTCAATTTTGCTCTTTGTGAACAGAACCATGAGAAATGGCCCAGGTAAAGAGTGGTCAGGGCCATGCATTCTTGGCTACTCAACAAGGATGCAGGTGTGGGAGAGAATATGGAGTATTTCTCAACAAGTTGGCCTTCAGAAAGAATATGTCAACTGTGTGGCCCTTTCCTACTTAAAGTTTGCTATATGTTTGTATACATGTACTAGGCTGGAGAGTTTTTATAGCCAACCATCTAATAGAAGAACTGTCATTCTCTCTTATTACAGGATGAAGTTGGTAAAGTCAAGAGAGATGTTATAGTTGAATATTGTCAGAAGTAAGTATGGTGTATGTGAACAACATACGCTGATTTCTCTGACCCTGAATTCAATGAACTGCTATGTTCTATAGAAATCCAGACAATGAGTCAGGTGGTTTTCTTAATTTTTTAATTGATTTTTTTTCCTACTGAACATTTATTTATTTATGTATTTTAATTTAAATTAAGTTAATTAACATGTATTACTAGTTTCAGAGGTAGAGTTCAGTGATTCATCAATCTTATATAATGCCCAGTGCTCATTTCATCACATGCCCCCCTTAATGTCCATCACCCAGTTACCCCATCCCCCATCCCCACCCCTCCAGCAAACCCTCAGTGTGTTTCCTATGATTAAGAGTCTCTTATGGGGGGAAGAGAGGGTGCCTGAGTGGCTCAGTCAGTTTAGCGTTGGCCTTTGGCTCAGGTCATGATCCCAGGGTCCTGGGATCGGGCCCTGCATAGGGTTCCCTGCTCAGTGGAGAGCCTGCTTCTCCCTCTGTGTGCTCTCTCATCTCTCTCTCTCACTCTCTCTCTAAAATAAATAAATAAAATCTTTTTAAAAAGGAAAGTCTCTTATGGTATGTCTCCCTCTCTGATTCCATCTTGTTTTATTTTTCCCTTCCTTGCTCTATGGTCCTCTGTTTTGTTTCTTAAATTCCACATATCGGTAAAATGACATGACAATTATCTTTCTCTGATTGACTTATTTAACTTAGCATAATGCCCTCTAGTTCCATCCATATCATTGCAAATGGCAAGATTTCGTTTTTGATGGCTGCATAGTATTCCATTGTGTATATATATACCACATCTTCTTTATCCATTCATCTGCTGATGGACACCAGGCTCGTTCCACAGTTTGGCAATTGCTGCTATAAACATTGGAGTGCATGTGCCCCTTCGGATCACTAGGTGGTTTGTTTTTTAATAAACACAATTCTATTGGATAAAACCAAACCAATCCATCCTCTGACATGTATCAGAAATGAAGGATGGGAGATGGTTTGAAGAGGCTCATGCCTCTGTTTTGAGGCAATAGCAACATGAACCAGATAGAACTTTCTTCTTGATGAGGTCCTCTGTTATCTTTGAAAGATCTTTTAGGGAAGTAGATTCTTCTGAGAAAGATGGAATAACTTCAATTGACTTTATGGACATCATCTCTTCTGACTTTCAGGTTCAACTGCCGTATGTCTCACTATGCTCTTCGGGGTCAGATTATGGCATACTGCAATAGTCTGAGAGCCCTGCTAGAAGATTTCCCTACCATCAGAGATACATTTTTCATGGTGGGGCAACCAGAAGAAAAGAAAGGGTTGAGAGACTCCAAGGAGGGCCTCAAGGCTGACCCCAGGTGTGTAATTTCCTTTACATCTTTTTACTCCACCTCCATACCCTACCCCTCCCAGGGAAGAGGGAAGAGGCATGTTAAATTTGGTATGGGAATCTTGCTTTCTTTACTGCATTTGACCTTGATCTCCTGGTTCAAAAGGGCAAAAGAAAGAGCTAACACTCTAAGAATAACAGTATCTTTGTATTTGAACCCAGAAGAGGTTCTTTGTTTATGGGCTGTTTCACTGCTTTTTCAAGCTATGCAGTTTTTTGTTTTCCCCTGGAGAGCCCAGAGATTTCCATCAGTCACACCCTTTTACATAAGCCAGCATCTAAAATAAGCAAACAAATGAGTAATCTTGATCTTGAACTGTCCTGACTTCAAATAGTTTACTTAAGAGACCAGAAGAAATAAGAAACACACACATACACACACACACACACAACATTGATACACCAGTGCCTTGGATAAATCTGCCTTTGTATATTTCTCTGGCAGAGGAAAAAAAAATACATGTAGAGTGATATTAAGTGATAAGAGCAGAGCTGCTTCCATACTTCCTTATCATGCCTTATCCAGTTTTCCAAATGTTCCTAACTCAACCTGCCTGGAGTTCACTTACCTAGATGGAAGAGTTAGCATACCTATGCAGTCAGCAACTACATTTTCTTAAAAAAGAAATAAAAAGAAAAGAAAAGAAAAAAGAAAAGAGAAAGAAAGGGAGAAAGAAGGAGTGTTACATAGTTCTTCCATCTCCAAGGGGGAGAAAAATGGTGAGCTTACTTTCCTCCCTACTCTTTCCCTTAAGGCACAGAGCTTAGTGTTATATAATCGTAATACTCAATAAATACCATAGAACAGATTGATGAAAGCAAATTGAGAGACCATTTGTATCAGACCACTCATTCACTCCCTCACTCATTCATGCGTTATTCAGCCAGCATTTATTTAGTGCTTACTTAATACTAGCCATTTTGCTATGTGCTGGAGTTTTAAAGGTAAATAAGCCAATGACTCTGACAGTAAATTCAGCCCAGTGGGGGAAAGCGCTATCAACAAAAAAGTAACTTCAAAGATTTTAAAGGTAATCTGCTAGAGTTATGTGAAATGTTCCTTGAGGACACAAAAGAGGGAGTGTTTAACTGTAGCCCAGGGCCTCAGGGAGACATTAAAAGAGGAGGTGACAGGTAAGTCAGAGCTCACCCCCCCCCAAAAAAAAAATAGTGGGGATGATAGAACAGGCTAGAGAAATCTGGAGAATGAAAAAAGCTTGAATTTGCAGGCCCTTGACTAACTGATAGCTGGCTACCAAAATAGTGACCAGTCCTACCTTGACACGAACTCCAGTTTGTGGAGACCGGGGTCTGTCTCATGAGCTCAGCCAGTGCATACACTTGGGTCGACTTCCACATTTACCCAGTGGAAGAATGCATTTGAAGGAAGGGTAGGGCAAATACACCTCAGTAGACTGACTCTTTTGCTTAAGGGTTTGACTGTACACCTGTTGCCCAATGAGACTGAAGTGTATCTTTCTCTCCTATGAAACATCACAGGATAATCCTCTGACTTCTTAGTTTCATTATCTCATCTACCCACTAGCCAAGTCAACCATTTATAAGCCCTATCTATACTTAGGATCGAATTTTTAAAATAGTTTCCAGAAGTCTAACCACACATTCACTACATTTATGCTTAGGATCAAATGTATTCAGGAAGTCTGTTTTTGCTTCTGATCTGTTTTATTTGAAGCACCCAAATAAGGAGATCAGGAAGTAGAAAGAAAAAGAAAAAAAAAATGTCTCTGACTTGCAGGTCTTGCTCTATTCCTGTATTGTTTATTGTAGATGACTGTGTTTCCTAAAGATCAAGGGAAACCATCATTTAAGGGGGATGAGCCTAGAGCCCTAAATCATGTGGTCAGTGTGTGATAATTTCATGGCACGACTCTGGTCAATAGAAGTGTGGGCAAAGGAAGGGCTCACCCAGAGCCCAAGTCATAGAGTTAGACAGTGACTGATAAAGATTCCGTATTTTTTGGCTATACCCATCTCCTACTTCCTAAACTCTCCAGATTTCAACCTTTCCCTTTTAATACACCACAGAGAACAGAGCAATAGAGAAAGGAACTTCTGTCTTATGTGGAAGCTTAAAAAAGTATAAGATTATTTTTAACTTGAAAGTCTGTGATTCCATGTACTGAGTATTAACAAAAATGAACATTGGCCACAAGGAGGTAGAGGGGAGAGAGTCATGGCCTTGGAGTTAGAATATTTGGACTTTGCCCAGCTCAATTGTAAGTTGCCCTGAGGTCTCGGGCAAATCACTTTTGTTCAGTCTTTGAACCTCAATTCTTCATCTGATGAGTGAGGACATTGAAGCAGCTCTCTGAAGTTCAACATGCTAAGATTTTCAGTGCTAGGTTGTCTAGAGTTTGAGTCCAAGGAGTGGAACTGCTGAGGAAAGACTTCTTGGAAAGGGGCCATCTAGAAGTGTTCGTGAAATGATAGATGGGAATCACCCCAGGACGAATTTAACTAGAGATGAAGGGACAGAGTTGGGGAATGATGAGGGTCATGGAGGGACAGGTCCTCCTCACTCATCTCTTTCTTAAAATATGGAGTTGGGTTAGGTCGAAAATAAAAAATAAGTTTTCCTTTAAATGTCAATTCTAACAATTAATGCCCTATGGAGGATTCTGAGACATCCCAAGCTTATGAGCATGTTGTAATGGATTGGCAATGTCTGTCATGGCCAAGGACAGGGGCAAGGTGGCCTCCCTGGTTGTGTTTGCCATCCCTTGACCAGTAGAGCCCTGTCAGTTCTGTGGGTTTAAAATTCCAAGGTGCTATTTAATCCTTTAAAGGCTGTAATGTACTGTATTTACTTTTAACAGAGACGACCTTATCCCCAAACCCAAGTCTCTATAGAAGAGGAGACAAGGGGCATTCTTCTCCCAAGAAGGATGCCCCTTGAGGCCTCCTTGCTTTTCATGGCTCCAGAGGAGACTAGAGTCTGGAGACTGGGATGATGCTTGGGCATATTTCAAAAGCAGGGGTGTTGGCTGCTGGAATGAAGAAGGGAGAGAAGGGTTAATGTGAGAACATTAGTCAAACCCTTACTGTTTGACAGGTAGAGCCACGATCCCATATGGTGTTTACGTGCATTGAAAGAAGGCGCCCCTTCCTCTGGGCAGGTGTAGCCCCCTGCCAGGATGCAGAGCTTGGCAAGTAAAACATAGGCTGCATCTCAGCCACTGCTGGCTGCCTCAGGGCACAACCGGAACAACAGTACATGACAACCTTGGTGCCAAGTGCTGTACTGCAATGGATAGACATTGTCCTTGCCCTTTAGGCAAGGGGAAATAGGTAATTTTTTAAAAAAGATTTTATTTATTTATTTGAGAGAGAGAAAGAGAGCGAGAGAGAGAGAGAAAGAGCATGCATGAGGGGAGGGGCAGAGGGAGAAGCAGAGTCTCTGCTGGCCAGGGATCCTGATGTGGGGCTCAATCTCAGGACCCTGAGATCATGACCTGAGCCAAAGGCAGAGCTTAACCAGCTGAGCCACCTGGGTGCCCTGGGAAAATAGTTAACTACAATACATTGCTATAAAGACTAAAATATAATAAGAGAATAATAAAAGCAGCACCCTCCAGGAAATGTTCATTATTATCTTAGGGATTGGGGTGGTGGGGATGGGGAGCCAGGCAGGCTGCAGGGTAAAGGGGATGCTTAACCTGGGACTTAGAGGATGGTTAGTGTTTCGGGTACACCAGGAAAATAACTTCAGTTCAAGCTGGGAGACCCGCATGTATAGTGACACAGAGATGTGAGACAGCACATGCGCTCTTGAGTGGCTCCCACCCAGGGTGTGTGAGGATGAGCAATGAGGAGGAGAATGTACAGGAATCATGAGCAAGATCCAAAAGTCTGGCATATGTCCTTCCACAGCAGGCAAAGGGGGAGTAAGATGATGGTTGGGAATCTCATTTAGGAAGCTACTGAAGCTGTACAGACAGGAGATGTGTAGGAGGTAAAACCAGTTGGCCAGGTGCTGGATTTGATGGGAGGCTAAAGGCAAAGGAGGAAGCTGGGTGTCACCCAGAGCCTCTGGCTTGGATAAATAAAAAGATGGCAGTGCAATTATTATTTAATTGGTACAGAGTTTCCATTCTGGAAGATGAATAAAAGTTCTGGAGACAGTTGCACAACAATGTGGAAGTACTTAATGCCATTGAACTCTACACTTAAAGACAGTTCCAATGATAAATTTTATGTTATGTATATTTTATCACAATTCCTTTAAATGGGGGAACAAATGGTAGTGTCCTAAAGAGGAAAAAGGTAGAGAGGGAGATACTGAATCACAGCTCGAAAGCCTCAGTGGTGAATTTCTTCCTTATTTCTTCCTTTTTGAGACCTCCCAACAGGTCTTAATGCTCCCTAATCTGGATGTTTCCAGCACTTTCATATATGGTTGACCCTTGAACAGCATGGTTTTGAATGCACAGGTCCCCTTATAAATTGATTTGTCTTTTATAAATATAGTAGAGTACTGTAAATGTGTTTTCCTTATGATTTTCTTAATAACATTTTCTTTCTCTAGCTTCCTTTATTATAAGAATATAGTATATAGTATATATAGCATACAAAATATGTGTTTATCAACTATCCATGTATCTGGTCAACAGTAGGCTATTAGTAGTTACGTTTCTATGTTATGCACAGATTTTTTACTTCAAGGTGGGTCAGCACCCCTGACCTGCGTTGTTCAATGGCCAACTGTGCTTCCATTCCACCATGCTTCTGTCATAAATCATGCATAAATCTAGTTGCTTCAGAAATGTAAGAACCTTGCGGGCAGTGGCCATCTTCATTTCATATCCCAGATGTGTACCTCTGCCTTTGACCTTGATTGAAGGGGAGATGGAGGTAGGGGAAACGGCCCACAGGAGGTAGGGGAAACGGCCCACAGGAGGTAGGGGAAGTTCCAGCCAATGGCCTTTAATTCAATTATGAAATAAGATTGTGTCATCATTTGCTGTCAAGAATTTGGTATGAGGCTGAAAGAAGTCTTGGAATTATTAGAAAAGGAAATGGGCATGAAAGCTGATCAAAGGAAAGAATAAGGGTTGTCCCAGGGTGACACAGCTCAGGCTGGAAACCATTTACTCGTTGTTGCATCAGTACAATTAGTGGTGTGATTTCCTCCAGCTGTGCTCAGCAACATGCAGCTAGAAGCCAAAAACATAATAGTCAGAAGGATCCAGAGTTGGGGTTTTGCTATGTAGGTGAGTAGTGAATACAAGGAAGCAGAGACTGGAAAGTTCTGGTGAGAGAGTAGTTCCTATGCTTGACTGCGAGACCCAGTGTGGGCAGGGAAAGGAGGGAAGTCAGAATGGAACTGACAGATGAAAGGGGGAGACCAGAGGGCTGGACAATGTCAAGGAGCATATTTTGTGGGGATAATGGAGGTTTACTGGGAGTAGATGAGTGAGGAAACTGGAATAAAAGGTTGGTGTAGGAAAAGACGGGAAAGGGGGTTTTGGGTTTAAGTCTTTGCAGGGGAGGTGGTCCCAGGTAATGATAAGGTCTGGGATTTGGCCCCAGAGTGGATGGCTGGAGGGGAAGGAAGGGGAAAGGGGATGATGTCAAGCAGGTAAGAAACTGACAGGCTAGGGAGTTGGTGGGCCATCCACGAGGAGTGGGGAGGAACCCTCCTTGTGGGGCTGAGAACAGGCTATACCACTGCACTTCGGACCCAGAGCTTTCTGCTACTCTCTCTGTCCTTCCCCAGCAGATGGCTGCTCACTGCAGGCAGGGGTGCAAATGGAAGGAAAGAATGGTTGAGAAATAAAGGGTAACACTTGGTAGAGGGCCCTGAGGCTCCGGGGATGTATGTGTTTCTCTGAGGCCAAGGACTGGACAGTCACACTGTTGCTGCCAGCCCCTCGGCCTGTAACCTCGTGTGCTTGGCCGCAGGCCCTGGTGACTTTTTATTGTTGATATTTGATGTTTCTTTGGGGCACCTTTGGACATTGTGAACTGAACAATAGAGATAAGACTGGGTTACCCTGGCTTTGATCTGCTCCAGGACAGGAAAGTCTGACTTTGTGGTTACTGAAATAAAGGAAATTTCTCCAAACTAACACCGTCCTTTGTTCCCAAACCTCAAATTACCTGATTAAAACCCTGAGACTTGAAAGGTGGCTTTAAGGCCAATGATTCACTTCACGTAGAGTTTTAATGATTCAAAAAGTCTCAGACTCCGAATGTTTGATATTGAAAACATTCAGCCCTCAGTTAAAATGAGTTATATTTCACTTTAGTAAGTGGAAAGGGTGATCTGAATCTCTCCCAGAGACCCAGAAACAATAACAAGAGTCAAAAAGCACCCCTGTGATTTCCAAAGTGCCCCCCAGAAGGTGAGGACCTCCCACCAGGAGTCCTTTCCAGGGACCATGGAACTGGGCAAGAAAACTGGGTACAAACTATGAACAATAGTGTGATGAGTAGGACTTGAAGAGTAAAAGAGAAGGGAGGCTCTAAAAATGACTCCCTGATTTCTGGCTTGGGCGACTGAGGGTTGTGGCTGTTTTAACAGAGGACGAGGCACAGGTTTGGGGTGGTAGAGGGTAAGGAGTTCAGTTCTTGCCTTCTTTGACTGAAATGATCTGAAACCCTACCAACCAACAGGAAGCAAGTTGGAAGTGAGGAGCTGGGGAGGGGACCGGGCACGCACAGGTGGATTCAGGTATCACCGTGAATGGATGGCCTTTGCAGCCAGAAGAGTGGACACACCGTCCAGGACTAGGGACAGAGTGGGAAGAGCAGAGCGGAGGGATTAAGGGGGAGGGGCTGTTGTGTGGCGGGGTTAGGGGGCTCCATACCCACCACACACCTCCTTCCACTGTCTGTCTGTGTGTCTGTGAGGCCTGCTTTGTCTAGCATAGCCGAGATGGGTCTAAGGTGGCACCCTTCTCTAGCCTTGCCCTATAACCCTCAATTCTAGGACATCCTCTCATTAGTGTGTTCAGGTTCCCACTTGTTAACAAATAGCCCCAAGGGTTCCTACAAGGTCTCTTTACTGGGCCACAGGGGTTCCTTGCCCCCTACCCACCTTTGGCCCCTTTGCTAGATACCCTCACCTTAGCATTCTAACAACAAACTTTGTATAGCTCCTCACAACTTAGAAAAGATTTTTCACAAGCTTGGTACTCTTTTTAAAAATTATTCCTTACATCGATTCTGTGAGTTGGGAATCATTATCTCCACTTTATGTATGCAAGGACTCAGATGGTAGTGCATCTAAGGCCACACAGCTGTGGGCGATGGAAGCTGGTCTCAGAACGGGGTCCTCCGATGCCAGAATCCACACCTGTTAACTGCACAAGCACCATTTTCACACCAGATGAACACAATTAGACTTAAAGGCACCAAATCCATTCAAATGGAAAACAGCCCCCCTTACCCCACCCTCTGTCACAGTGGGCCACCTCATTCCTGAGAGGACATAGAAACCAGGTCAAGATGCCACCTTCCCCCAGTGGGTATACCGGAAAGATCACGAGCTTCCATTGGTGTGAAGGTCAAACACAGGCAAAACCCAACAAAATAATCTTTTAATATTTTATCCAATTATGGTAAAACCACAAAGAAAAACTAACATGAATGTAAAATTCAGGATGGTGGTTTCTCCCCAGGGCCCCCAGGGAGGTGCACGTCAGGCTTCGAAGGCTTCAGGCGGCTGCCTTCCGCTCAGGTCAGGATCCTAGGGTCCTGGGATCGAGTCCCGCCTCACGGTCCATGCTCATGGGGAACTTGCTTCTCCCTCTCCTCCCTGTTTGTGCTCTCTCTAAAAAAAAAAAATTAAAAAATAAAACAAAGTAAGTCTCAACTTCATCTCTTAGGAGCTGGGCAGGCAAAGTTCTCCTAGGACCGCAGTCTCCTCCTCTGTCAAATAACAACACAGGTGAATTCTAAGGACATAAGAATTCAATGAGAAAATATGTAACACCCAGAATGGTGCCAGCCACCACATTCAGGTCCTCTCTCTGCTTTCTCACCACACCTTTCCTGCCCTCCAAACCCACTCCTTCCTCCAACACAGCCGGGGCTAAAAGCAGCCTCCCCGCTCCTCTCCTCAGTTATTTATAACCGAGGCCACCTGTGAGCTGCCTGCAAGTGAGACGTGCTGGCCCGGGCCTGGACGCCGGGCTCCAGCTCGGCTCGGGTGTCACCCCAGCCCGGAGCTGTGGCTGCAGGGCCGTGTTAGAAATAGTTCCCACTGGGGTGTCTGTTTTGCCTTTTTTTTTTTTTTAAGATTATTTATTTACTTACTTATTTGACAGAGATCACAAGTAGGCAGAGAAGCAGGCAGAGAGAGAGGAGGAAGCAGCTCCCCGCTGAGCAGAGAGCCCAATGTGGGGCTCGATCCCAAGACCCTGGGATCATGACCTGAGCCGAAGGCAGAGGCTTTAACTCACTTAGCCACCCAGGCGCCCCGGGGTGTCTGTTTTTTTAAAGAGAAATGCTGTGCTGACCCAAACTTTCTTATAATGCCACAGGAGTTTTCGGGCCCGGCCGCGGGGTTTGCTGTCTGCTGACGGGAAGGTCTTCCTCAATTTATGGTTCCTGCCCCATCCTTCTGAAGTGCTGGTTATGTTCAAAACTCTGCCAGAAGAGGTTTGTATTTCTTTCTGTGTGCCAGAATGAAAACTGGCTGGGGCTTTGTTATGTCTCGCGGTTAAGCGTATCAATCACAGAGAACATCTCTTGTTTTTTTCCAGGGATATCTAGTACCCGAAGATCTTCACAACGCTCCCAATATTTTTGCCTGCTTCATAATCCTTTCTCTAGGGCCTCATTATTTCCCCGAGTTCTGTTTCTCCCCAGTCACTAATGAATACTAATCCGAGCTTCCCGCATTCCTTATTAATCCTCAATTTCCTCCCACACCCTTCACGGAAAATCCCACCCGGATGCCCTGAAGCTAATGACAGGTGGAGATCGCAGGCGTAGCCATCAGCCTGTTTCTCTGAGGGGCTGCTCTGTGCACCTAACTTCCTGTTAGAGGGTCATATTGATAACCATATAAAAAGTAGATCTAGAAATACACAGAGTACTCAACAAGTATTTTCTAAGTGAAGTGTAGCGCTGGAAAATGGCCATTGGGAACATTCTGATTGTTCTTTGTTAAGTGAAAACCTAGGTTTAACAACCTAGTTTCTTACCCTCTCCCCCCCCCCCCCCCGCCCCAGTTTTATTGAGATGTAACTAATCAGTAAATTGCATATATTTGAAGTGTGTAACATGATTTAACGTATGTGTACCTTGTTAAATGATTACCCCAGTTAATTAACATATCTATCTCTTCACAGTTATCTTCTTTTGCATGTGGTAAGAACACTTATCTACTCTCCTAGCAAGTTCCAAGTATGCAATACATTATTATTAACTATAGGCACCATGCTACACATTAGATCCTCAGAATTTATTCATCTGATACTGAAAATGTGTACCCTTTGGCAACGCCTATCCATTTCCCACCCCTGGTAGCTACTCTTCTATGATTTCAACATTTTGTTTATTATTTTAGATTCAACATATAAGTGAGATTGTCCAATGCGTCTTTTCCTATCTGGTTATTTTACTTAGCATGACATTCTCCAGGCTCATCCATGCTTTTGCAAATGGCAGGATTTTTCTTTTTTCAATGTGTGAATAATATCCTTTTGTGTATGTGTTTCACATTTTTTTATCCATCTATCCATCCACTGGACAGTTCGATCGTTTCCATAGCTTGCCTATGATGAGTAATGCTGCAATGGACATGAAAGTATAGATAATCTCCTTGAGATACTGACTTTGGATGTGTACCCAGGAGTGGGAGGATCATATGGTAGTTCTACATACAAAAGAATGAAACTGGACCCCTACCTCTCACCTCTCACAAAAATTAATTTGAGGTGGATTAGAGACTAAATGTAACATTGAAAACTGCAAAACTCTTGGAGGAAAGTGGGGAAAGCTTGACATTGGTCATGGTGATGATTTTTGGATATAATATGAAAAGAATAGGCAACAAAAGCAAAAATAAATAAATGCGACTCTATCAAACTAAAAAGGTTTTGCTCAACAAAGGAAACAACAAAATGAAAAGGCAACTTAGAGAATGGGAGAAATATTTGCAAACCACGTATCTGATAAGGGGGTAATACCTGAAATATGTAAGGAACTCAGGAACTCCTACAAAACAACAATAAAATCTGACTTTAAAACGGGCAAAGGTCATGATTAGACATTTTTTCCAAAGAAGACAACCAGATGGCCAACAGGTACATGAAAATATGCTCAATATCACTGATCCTCAGAGAGAGGCAAATCAAAACCACAGTGAGAGAGCACCCTACGCCTGTTAGGATGGCTATTGTCAAAATGACAAGAGACAGCAAGTCTTGGCAAGGATGTGGAGAAAAGGGAACCCTTGTGTCCTGTGGATGGGAATGTAAGTTGGTGCAGCCATTATGGAAAACAGTATGGAATTTCCTCAAATAATTAAAAATAGAACTGCCCTTTCTTTCATTAAAGAATTTTAGATGTTTCAAAATATATAGTATATATTTTATAACTATTAAGTGTAAAGATAATTATGTATTATATATGTAAATACTACCTTCTTTAAGTTGGATCATCATTTTCCACTTTTCCTTCACTCGAATGTTAATAGTTAAGGTCCTGGGTTTGATCATTTTTATTTGTGTTTTTTTTTTTTACTTTTTTTAAAATTTCTTTTCAGCGTAACAGTATTCATTGTTTTTGCACCCAGTGCTCCATGCAATACGTGCCCTCCCTAATACCCACCACCTTGTTCCCCCAACCTCCCATCCCCCACCCCTTCAAGACCCTCAGGTTGTTTTTCAGAGTCCATAGTCTCTCATGGTTCACCTCCCCTTCCAGTTTCCCTCAACTCCCTTCTCCTCTCCATCTCCCCATGTCCTCCATGTTATTTGTTATGCTACACAAATAAATGAAACCATACGATAATTGACTCTCTGCTTGACTTATTTCACTCAGCGTAATAATCTCTTCCAGTCCCGTCCATGTTGCTACAAAAGTTGGGTATTCATCCTTTCTGATGGAGGCATAATACTCCATAGTGTATATGGACCACATCTTCCTTATCCATTTGTCCGTTGAAGGGCATCTTGGTTCTTTCCACAGTTTGGCAACCATGGCCATTGATGCTATAAACATTGGGGTATAGATGGCCCTTATTTGTGTGTTTAAACTATGTTGATAAATACCTACACTTTGCTTACAGGTGTTCCCTCTCGGCAGTGGTATCTGAATACGGGTTCCTGCTAGGAGTTTATCTGTGACACTTGTAATCTATCAGTGGTCCTGCAAACACATTTTGCTGTGTTTCTGGTCACCAGTGTCTTTAAGCAAAGAGAAACACATTGCTTTAAACCCCTCACTCTAGGACGTACCTTGTCCAAAGGCATATAACCTGGTTGAGGAGTAGGTTTGTGTTCTGTTTTCCAGATGTTATTCTGTAATTACTAACCTGTATTATACTGTGAAAATGTTTAATATTGTTTGAAGATACTATCCCTAATTGATGTGCTCATGTATTTTTTTAATTCTCTCTCTTTTTTTAAAGATTTTATTTATTTATTTGACAGAGAGAGTGTGAGGGGGAACACAAGCAGGTGGAGTGGGAGAGGGAGAAGCAGGCTTCCCGCTGAGCAGGGAGCCCGATGTAGGGCTCTATCCCAGGATGCCAGGATCATGACCTGAGCCACATTAGGCAGCTGAGCCACTCAGGTGCCCCAATTTGGGGGCTTTTGGGGGGGGTTATTAGTTATTTTTATTAACATATAATGTATTATTTGCCCCAGGGGTACAGGTCTGTGAATCGTCAGGCTTACACGCTTCACTGCACTCACCATAGCACATACCCGCCCCAATGTCCATAACCCCACCCCCCTCTCCATATCCCCCTCCCCCCCCAGCAACCCTCACTTTATTTTGTGAGATTAAGAGTCTCTTATGGTTTGTCTCCCTCCCTTCTCTTAGAAACTTCTTAAAATGTTATTTCTTTCTGTTGATTTTACCCACAGGCAGCTTTCCAAGCCTTACAGCTAACTCTACAGCTGATAGCCTCTCTCCATGACATTGTGGCCTACCTTTTCAGTTTTGCTCAACTTGGAAATTGTCCAACATGTTTTGAATTTCCTCTAAGTGCTAACCCCCTGAAAGGCAACTGGGGAGGAACTGAGGGCATTGGTAAGTGATTAGAGGTGATTCAGATCACCTTTGGTATTCACGTCCAATTCTATGAAGCTCTTTTCTTCTTCCAACTTCACTGAAGTATAATCGGCAAATAAAATTGGAAGCTGAAGTGTACAATGTGATGATTTGATAAACACATACATTGTGAAAAGATTCCCCCCACCTAGTTAACTCATATGAAGCTCTTAATACTTGGAAAGACTGAATTAAATTATTCTTTTCATAAATGACAGGAGAAGAAGGGCAAAGGGCAAAACCTCATGATATTCTGTCTCCAAACTAATTAATTCCACACTTGCAGGTTAAACCACAAAGTAAAGCTAGCCGGGAACTGGGCCAGCCTGGGTTTTTACCCTGTATCTGCCACTTGGTTACTGGGCGCTGGACACTTGACTCTCCGGGTCTCTCTCCATCTATAAAATGGGGATGATAACACCTGTTTCATGGAGATGTTCTGTGGATTAAAATCTATGTAGAGCTTCTACAAGAATGTACATGCCCTTACTATACCCTAGTTTTCTTTCATCCCCTTTCTGGCCTTTGTGAGCTAATATGGCAAGGTCAGAGCCAAGCATTCATTGTCAAGAATTTTTTGCAGACCATCTCTGTTAGCTAACAGTAGCCACATGGCCCTGAAGTAAGAATGACTGAGGCTTTAGTTTTATCTGCCAAGTGCTAATCCATAAACCCTAAATAAGCACTAAGTTCTGAGATAAATGCACAAGGTAAATTAAAGACTGAAATGCTTAGTAAGCTGGGTTGATCAAAAGTAGGGAAACTGATCTCGTTATTTTAATAACTTGACTTGCAGCCAAATTATGTCTGTAGTTATGTAAATATTAATTAATCACAATACTTTATAACAGGGTAACCAAGGATTTTAAAGGATGAGAAGAGCTGATGGAATGAGATGATAATGTGCTTATTTAAACCTAGCATTCTTCAAATGAGTGTAAGATACTCTGAATCTATTTCTCTCTGGCCAGTGCATAAAGAAAAAGTGTTTGTGGGAGACCCTGATTTGTTTGCTGGTAGATGTGGTAGATGTCACTGAACACTGATGGAAACTGTAAACGTTCAGACAGGAGACCTAGGGAAGGGTATGAGTGGCGATCCTGGAGGAGGGTTGATGCCAGTCTCTGAGGAGAAGCAGCATGAAAAGGGGATGGATTGGGGCTGACTCAGCAGAAAACACAGATTTTTTTTTTTTTTTTTTTTTTTTTTGAGATTACACAGAATTGTGTAACGAGATTTCAGAACTACCAGCATGGCTTCATTGTAAGAATCAAGAAAGTAGAGAAGTTCCAAAGCACACTTAGGGCCTTTTGCTAATTCCAGGACTGTTATAAAAGGGGTTTACTCAGAAAATCAGCTAAGACACTCTCAAGGGAGGTGCTGGATTTGGGGAGGGTGCGGAGACTGGGCTTTAGATGAGGGATGGGTGAAAGGATGGGATGGGAAACCATGGAGATGAGCTAGAAGCCAAGATAGAGCCAGAGCCATCTTCCCCAAGAAGGACCCTGCATAGGAACTCCTCCAGCAGCTGGGAAGGCAGAGTGTGCAGGGAAAGTGATCTGGGGGTACTTGCCCTCCCTTGAATCAAGGGAGAAAACTAGGATGGTTGGTCTTGGCAAGATCAGAAAAGGACACTGGCAAAGACAACAGGCCGAAGTGCACATGGCCAGTCCAGAGGATGGTGAGCCTACCAGTGTGACACTGAGGAACAGGAGGGACTGAGGCCAAATTATTGAGGACCTAGAATGCAGGATAAAGGAAATCGGTTTCTTATTATTTATATGCTTCTGAACCAGAAACCATTGAAATATGTGGGGCCCAGGCTTTCCAAGGTGTGCAATTAGAGGCATGCAGTCTGTCATGTTGCCAGCGAAAACATTTGTGCTCCAGGGAGAATGTGCAAAGTTTTGCATACTCTGCTCTGCTGAAAATAGATAAAGAGCAAACTGCACTAAAAAAAAAAAAAAAAAAAAAATCCCACTCTAAGATAATCATCTTTTTTAAAAAGCCTCAGTTGCTCAGTTCCTGGACCACTTCCCAGAAGGAGGCAAGGAGAAGTAAGGTGAACAGAGGAGATGGGTCTGTTCCCATCCTTTCCCAATGCCTCTCAGCTATTGCCGAGCTATTTGGAGTTAGATAAAATGACTTTTGTGGGCTTAGGTGCTTTAAAATATTCTTCAAGGGGATGCTCCAGATTTCAGCTTTGGTCCTGCCACTTGACTGAGGAAGCAGCAGCCCTTTGACACTGAGCATGAGCTGGGTGGCCCCGGACAACTCCTCTCCTTCCCTGAAAGCCAGCCACTCCCTTTGGATCAGCAGAGGATGTAATCTGCATGTGGGAGTTTGCACTGTGATTTCCCTGTAAAGGTTTAGGAGGCCAGTGAAAGCCCAAATACTATCCATATAAAGTTAGGGTTTCAGGAACTCTTGAGGCAAACTAAGCGCAAAATGTACAGGCTCTTGAGTATTCACGTGGAGATAGGGCCATCGTGATTCCATATTCTCTCTCTCGCTCTCTCTTTCTAATTTCCCAAATGGGACCCTCTTGGGGGAAAGGATTGTTTGTTTCCTGATGTTTTCTGGCTGAGGATCTACTGCCAACACCCTGCTTCCCACCACAACTACATGGCAACCATCTGCCCCAGCCTCACAGGAAGGCCTCCTGCCTGGCCCTGTCTGCCCCCTTCCATCCCACCCAGCAGCCGCTCGATGCCGCTAAGAAAGGGGAGCCTAAATGAGGATCCTAAAATCTGTAAACAACAAAGAAAGAGGAGTGCCCACCTCCACATCTGTGTTTAGGTGATAATGCTCAGAACAATGTTGCTGGGCAGTGATGGTGTGGAGGTGTACGTACAGCACACACGTAAATGAAAAGACAAAAATTATCTGACACCAACCACTGGAACAAGAGAGAGATTCTTGTTGGTCTTTACTACCTTCTAACCCTTGTTCAAACACACTTTGCACTTTTTAAAAAATTTTTTTAAAGATTTTATTTATTTATTTGACAGAGAATACAAGTAGGCAGAGCAGCAGGCAGAGGGAGAGGGAGAAGAAGACTCCCCGCTGAGCAAGAAGCCCGATGTGGGGCTTGATCCCAGGACCCTGGGATCATGACCTGAGCCGAAGGCAGCCGCTTAACCAACTGAGCCCACCAGGCGCCCCCAAATACACTTTACATTTAACAGAGGTTTCCTTACAGGCTGTGTGTTTCCCTTCATGTTCTTTTTTCATTGTCATTGCGGAGGATTCTAAACCTTCCCCTCACCCCACCCCCAGTTGCTACTTAGCCCACGGAATGTCTTACCTACAGACCATCACACTAGGCCTTGAACAAATAAGGCTCACTGACAACCCCTCCTCCCAGCCACCACCAAAATTCTTGTACGAGTCACTCCAATGTGACTCCTCTCCTGGTGGAAGTTTCTTTTCTGTCCAACATGACCATCAGATCTATAGAGAAGTCATAAAAATTTTGATGATTGGATCCAATTTTCCAGGGGCCAGACGAGTACCTAAAAAACATTTTTCTCTTGTACGTAAAGCATCAAATGGATATGGAATCTACGCTGCTCATCTTTTCCTAAAGCCAAAGCCTATGGTGCAAGTATTGGCAACTCTTCTCAGTCCTGATTCTGCTCTGGTCAGGCTCTCATGGGCAGCTTCCCCATTCCCTCAATTCCTCTGCCTCCCTTGCATGTGGGAAGATATCCAATACTAGACCAGATAGGGTAGAAGGCTGCTCAGGTCTGGACAAGCTATTGAGAGAGGACCTCTGGAAATACCTCATAGCTCTCTCATCTCTCTCTTCTGCCTCAGGCTACATATCAGGCACAGTGACCAGTTTCCACTATCCTCTTCCTGTAGCAGGGATGTTCTCTCAAGTAAAGAGCCATCCCTGTCCTCACTGGGAGTTGAGAACTTTCAGATCATTCTAATGTCCCTGGAAGTGTGGGCCTACCCACGTCCCCACCATCATTTTCTTGCTGTGCTCTCCCATTCTGACTAGCTCCTCTCCTGGGCCAATAGCAGAGATGCCACTCCAGCCATCTAGACCCAGGCCAGTTTCCTCAACCCGGCACTGAGTGCCACAGAAGGCCCTTAACTTAAATTTCCATTCAAAACACATATAAGTCTGTTTATATCCAGCCCACTTGTGCAGCAAGGGTCCAAGAAATAAGTCAGTTTAGGAGCTGTCATACCTACTCCTAAAATGATAAGAAGCTCCTAGAAGAGGGTGTGTGTGTGTGTTTATGTGTGTGTGCGTGAGTGCATGCTCGTGCACATAGGAGTGAGTGCATATTTCTTGCTCGTCCTGAATGGTCTTGAGTCTTCTTTAACCCATGAGCCAGTGACAGGATGAGCCAGTGACAGAGGGGTTGATTTGTATGGCATGGCTATGAGAAATAAATGCTGGTTTATAATCTATAATAACTTAAGCCCCTAACAGATCTACTGAGACTTGCATTTTCCCATTCCTTGTGATTTTTTTTTTCAATCTAGAGGCTGCAGCCTTGTAAAATATAAAACTTCCATTCAACAGTATGTTCTTATTCTGCTGAAAAGCAAAGCAAATTTTTATCTTATTGAGGAAGGAAGGAAGGAAGGAAGGAAAGATAAGTCAGACCTTGGGCTCTAGAACATAAGACTTTGCTGGTCTTGCAAAACATATTTAGTATGCTCACAAACAAAAGAAATACATTTAGGTAAAAAGTTAGCTTCAGAGGTGAAACGATGGCTCATTAGGCTAGCTGTCATAGCCTGTATGTCACCATCGTTAACTGAAATGTCATCTGTCTTCCAGGGTCTGAGCTGCAGGAGCTGCAGAAAATGATTGACAACCTCCAGAGCCCCCAGGACCCTACCCAGGTGTCCCAGGCACTCCTCCTTCGAAGGGAGGTTATGTTTTTGCAGTTTGACGCCGCAGTGAGACACCTTATCCGGTAAGGGTGGGGCGTGCATCCTGTCCAGTTAATTGTGTGGGGCAAGTACCTCTGAGTGACCATTGTGGGAGGTCACTCTTGGCAAGACTGAGTAAGGAGCCTAAAATAGTCAGGAGCCACAGCCTGATCCAGAACACTGTGAATACCCAATGTATCCCATTGCAAAGGCTGTGTAGAAGGTGTTCTCATCAGATGATGATAGTCTTGATTTTATTAAATGTGATTTAAATACGTTAGTTTGCATAACAATCACTGCTGTCGCTGTTCAGGTTGTTTAATGGGGAATAATATTTTTTAGACTTCAGAAGATGATTCTAAGAGTTTTGTTTATTTTTTTCAGCCTTTAATTACCTTTCCAAAGAACAGAATTTTCACTGCTCTTGCGAAGCCCATGGAATTGGCTGAGTTAAATTTGTAAATTCAAATAAATAAATTGTAGATATTAAGTACTCTCCATACGAAAAAAAGTCTCTTTGGTTAATCAACCGTGACTGATGAGAAAATTAGTTTACATTGAGAGTCACACTGTTTCTAGGGTAAATAATAAGTTTTGTATGGGAAGGGAAGCGGTCAGGCCTGAGCATCTCTGCTTCTTCTTAAATTGTCAAAATCAATTAACTTCCTTTGATTAATTCCCCATGTAAGCATTTAGCCAATCAGGGGATCTCAGGAGGCTACGCTCTTACCTGTGGCTTGTAATTGCCTTCCACCGTTAGCATGGGCATCGTAGAGCATGGAAACATAGGGATTGAACTGAACTCTATTTTCTCTTTCTGTTCTACATCTTCTTTACTCTGAGCATCAGGGGGTCTCTGGATTCAAATGAAATCAGCAGAACAACAACAAAAAATTAGACTAATGCAGTTTCTTTTCATTGACAGCCTTCGGAGCTGTAGCTCATCAAGCGGGGAGGATATAAAAGATTGTCGGGACGGCCATTCGTTAGCCCTCTGACTCTCAAACCCCAAGTCAGAATTTGTGAAGAATTTACCTAGGATGAAGAAATAGAACTATACCCTGCATGTTCTTCTTGGATTCCAGCTATGAGGGTTCGGCTTGTTACTGTTCTCCCAAGGGAACTAGTCTGCTTCCTCTAGGAATTCCTTTGAGGGGCTTTCTTTATCCTGGCACACTCAGCCTGCAGGAATGGAGGGGGGGCTCTGCCCTACATCTGGTTTTAGTAGATTCAGTATATCTTTCTCCTCCCCCATCTTGCCTCCTGCCCTTTCAAAAGACTTTAGAGGGAACCACTCAGGACGGTTGATCTCCATGAGTTCCTCATTTATGGCATTTCCTCTAGCCTTTTCCTTCGGGACTCTTCAGAGTATGTATGTGTCTGGAATCACACAGTTCGTAAGTGACAGACTGGAACTAGAACCTGCATGCATTTGATTCCCAAGCTTCAGAATTAGGATGGATGCCAGACAGCAGTGTGGAGAGAAAAATAGACTCTAGAGAGAAGACAGGAAACAGGAGAAAAAGAGAAGTGGAAAGATAAATGTCATCCAGCTTGATGATGTTAGTGCAAAACCTGCAAACAAGGAAAAGTCCTCAGATAATCAAGAGACAGGAAGTATAGGGAAGTTCCCTCACCCTTCCCCAGAGTTCACCAACTCTGAGCAAATATGACTGTTGACCCCAGGGAACTTTTTTGCTTATGTTAACTGAAGGCTTTTCCAGAATTTGAAAAGGAAGAGCTGAACTTTTACCTGGAACGAGAGCAGTGTGTTTCTATAGACTGGGGGAAAGTGAGGAAGGACATAGCTCAAAGTCATCAAGATAGTGGCCCTGTGATCACCTAGTATGTGGCTCCTGCTAATATGTGGCACAGATCAGCTCTGGGAGCAGGATAAATGCACATTTCTTATTTATTTGATTTATTTATTTATTTCTTATTTTAAAAATTTAAATTCAATTAATTAGCATATAATGTATCATTTTTTGCAGGGGCACAGGTCTGTGATTCATCAGTCTTATATAATACCCAGTGATCATTACATCACATGCCCTCCTTAATGCCCATCACCCAGTTACCCCATCCTTCCACCCATCTCCCCTCCAGCAGCCCTCAGTTTGTTTCCTAAGATTAAGAGTCTCTTATGGTTTGTCTTCCTCTATGGTTTCATCTTGTTTCATTTTTTTTTCACTTCCCCTATGAAATTCCTTGTTTCTTAAATTCCACATATGAGTGAGATCATATGTTGCTTCTTAAATTCCATGAATGAGTGAGATCATATGATAATTGTCTTTCTCTGATTGACTTATTTTGCTTAGCATAATACCCTCTAGTTCCATCCGTGTTGTTGCAAATGGCAAGATTTCATTTTTGATGGCTGCATAATATTCCTCTGTGTGTGTGTGTGTGTGTGTGTGTGTGTGTGTGTGTGTGCGTGCGCGCACAGGCACGCGCGTGCGCACGCACTCCACATCTTCTTTATCCATTCATCTGTTGATGGACGTCTGGGCTTTTTCCATAATTTGGCTATTGTGGACACTGCTGCTGTAAACATCGGGGTGCAGGTGCCGCTTCAGATCACTACCTTTGTTGGATGCACGTTTTTAAGCACAAAAGTTCACTCTGTCCCTGTCAACCTGCCCTCTACCAAGCTCCTGGTGGAAAGTGGTATTGTCCTCCAAGACCACTGGAACCACATTGCCCAGGGCCTGTCACCTCTGGGCATGTCCACCAACCTCAGGAGTTATTTACTAGCTGATGCAAGAAATGCCTGAGAAGTGAGCTTATCTTTAATTTCGGGTGAAGTAATCATTGTGTTGAAAGTAAATGCTTGGGTACAGTGGTTCTAATCGATCTTGTCTGTTTGGCAAACTTCTATCATAAACCCCTGCCTGATTTTTGTATGGCCTATGGCCTAAGGATAGATTTTATATCTTTAAATGTTGGGGGGAAAAATTCAAGAAAAGAGTACTATTTTGTGACACATGAAAATTATACAGAATTCAAATCTCGGTGTCCTTAAATGAAGTTTTTGGGAACACAGTTATGTCCATTCATTTATAGATTATCTTGGACTGCTTTCACACACAGTTGAGTAGTTGCAACAGAGACCATATGAGCACAGAACTGAAATAGTTACTATCTGACCCTTTAAGAAAAAGTTTGCTACCTCCAGATTTAAAGGTCTGGATTCCTTTGTAATTCAGGAATGGAGGGAGTCAAAACAAAATAAAAAGTCCCTTTAAATCTTTTTTTTTTATTAGATTTTATGTATTTATTTGAAAGTCAGAGATCACAAATAGGCAGAAAGGCAGGCAGAGAGAGAGGGGGAAGCAGGTTCCCGGTTAATAGAGAGCCTGATGCGGGGCTAGATCCCAGGACCCTGAGACCACTACCTGAGCGGAAGGCAGAGGCTCAACCTGCTGAGCCACCCAGGTGCCCCTAAAAAGTCCCTTTAAAGGAACTCTGTAGAACAGAATAAAACACGTGGCATGAAAGTGCCACTAATCTGAACATATTGCTGATGTTTGGAGTGATGAGGGCAAAAAAGGAGAAACTCAAGAAGATACCCTGAAGGTACCAGTAACTTTTGCAGAAACCTGAATTGGGAGCACAGAAAGGGATCGCTAAAGAAAGCCACACAACTTCTCCGTCCTTAAAGCTTTGTGGGTTTTTCCTTCATTTTTAAATTAATCTTTATGCTCATCTAGCTTAAGTATCTCTAAACACAAACATTAAAGTGTGCTTCGGGGTTATCTGGGGACTTCTGATATACAGAGGAGCCCTCCTGTGAGCTGGGCCTGGCTTATGACCATGGTCCTGGTCCCCAGTGTCTGAGAAGTCAAGAGCCACACCTTCTTCCAGGGGCCTCCTCAGGGCTATTTTGCAGGTGTTTTTGTTGTTGTTTTGTCTTTTGTTTTCTTTTTTATATCCTCGCACCCAGGAGAAACTCTAGCATGTGCCATATGAATTTCCTGCTCTCTGTGATTTGAACCGGCTTGCCAGGGGTCACGCTCCGGGTAGCTCTCTCACACACAGGAGGTGTGGTGTGTTAGGAAACCCTTGACTGCTTATTGATAGTAAGGCAGCTGGAGGGTGGCAGGACAATTTGCAGAATTCCATGTATCTGTTCTGGTATTTTATTAGGTTGGCAGGTGCCTGACCCAAGCAACAAGCCGGCCTCTTGTTTCAGTGGGTTTCCCTGTTTCTTGTGTGCTGCCAGCTAGCTGTGCTGATCAGAGCTACCCTCCCAGAAGATGCAGGCCCGAGCTTCCCCAATAAGGGTCTCAGTGAGCTGCAACAGGACCCCATGACCTGTTTTCAGTATTTCAAAAGGCATGGTAAAAAAATACCTTTGCCCAAATGCCGTGCAGGTAAACAAAATGTCAAGTTTCTTTCTTTTTTTTTTTTTTTTAAACTGGCATTCTAAGGACTGAGATAAGGGAGAGAAGACATTTGCTTTGGCTGACTCCGTGGGATAGAAATGCCAACTCCATGGGATAGAAATCATTCTCCCCATTTTTACAGATGAGGGAATAAAGATTCAGAAAAGTTGTGTAACTTGCACAGGGTCACACAGCCTGTCACAGCAGAGCTTCCATCTGCGCCGTGTGTCTAATTCCAGAGCCCTAGTCCTTCCTTTATATCATGTTTCTTCATTTCTTCCTGCAGCTCAGAGGCAGGGCTGGAGGTTAATGTGGTGTTGGGTTACAGTTGGGAAAATGTTTAATGGATGTTTGGTGGAAAAATCTTTCAAAATATGGGGTCTGTGGAGAGGGGGGATTAAAAGAGGGTCTGGTGCTAAAAATATTGGATATCATCTTGAGACCCCTTTTTTCACAGAGGCTTAGAAACATTCTATTGATAGAAGGGGGATGGGTCTTACAAAGGACAGTGATCTAGACCGAGAAAGGACTAAAGTGGGGAAAAGAATAGCCAATGATTTGGGCAGTAGTGGTGCCTGTAGCTTGACTCTGATCTCTCTAGAGAGCCTAGTATAGTCTATGATTCCGTAGCTTGGACTCATAGTCACATATACACCTGAACATATTATATTTCTGATTAGTCTCCAAGCATCCATTAAGTAATAGGCCTCATATGCATACAAAGCTGTGTCTGGAGCTCTCGATCTGTCAGAAATTGTGTTTGTTTGTGGCCCTTGGTAGTCACAGATTTCTGCACAAACTTGCCAGGATAAGAGAGCATGTCCGTGTTCTGTGTTCTTCTCCATGACTGTCAGTCAGGTATAGCCCCAAGAAGAGAACAGAAAAGACTCAGGAAAAACAAAGTTTATTATATGCACAGGTGCTAGAAACCGGCTGTATGCCATGACAGCTGCATGGGAAAGTGTCTATGTGGGTCAGGAACAAGGAGAGTGCTGAGCCATAGCCTGGAAAGACAAGACAGGGCAGGGTGAAGAGTTTAAGAGCTGCTGGGTTGAATCATTCCAGTGGGCTTTGGGTGGTAGAGGTGGTCTCTAGTTGTTGACTAAGCCCTGGGATAAATAAAGCAGAGGAATAGTGCCTTCCCCATGCAAGGGTCAGAGAGAAGAGCCATGGCTTTGGATTGGTTTGTTCACATATGAAAGCTGTGCTCCCTGCTCAGTCCTTTGCTATCTCTAAGAACCGGCTAGCCCAAAGAGGGGCAGTCTCTTCCTTAGCCAGAAAGGCCTTTAAAGATGTCAAAACATTCATAATAAATGGAAAACAAATTTAAAAATATAAGCACAATAGTCAAGGATTGAACAAATCCGATGTGAACAAAGCCAGACCCAGAGGGTGAGAGAAAGCACAGGAATGATGGGAATCATCCGGTGGATTGGTGGGAGAGAAGAGCAGGACGGATATGAAAGGAGCCAACCAGGGAGAGGTTGTATGGGATACTGGGCTTCTGTGCTCTTGACTCGGGCTGAAAAGGAATGTTTCTATTAGAATATTCTGCTTTCTGGTACCATTTTTTTTTTGAGGAGATCCATACAATCTATACAAAGGTGTGGGTGTAGAAAGTACCACGGGAGTTTAGAGGATGGTCAGAAGCAGCTGGATAATGAGCTCTGCCTCACTGGGCTGCTATCAGGCAGGAAGGTCAAACCGTTTTTGTACCTTGGACAGTTCTTGCACTTTGCTTTGTAGGTAGTAGGTGCTTGATACATTGGGGTCAGGTGGGTATCAAGTGAATGATGCGTCCTTGGCAGGACCCACTGAGAATCGTTAGAAAACACATGAACATATGAAGAATGTGAGAAAGTGTCCTCATTGAGCAACTCCAGACTCCATCCTTGAACTCGGCGGATAAACCAATTATTTTATCTAGTCTCTCAATATAAAATAATATTCAACTATCTTTTGTTAATTCTCATTAAAATGGGAAAAGGCGGTATGATTTTGGTACCAGTACAATGGTTTGATATAAAAATATAGCGCTCCCTTTATCTGTCTTTGAACTAAAGTTCACAAGCCTCTCCTGCTGATGGCTAAAAGATTAAACTTTCTAATTCCATGTCATCAGCCACATGTAGAGCTTAAAAGTGGTCAGTCTGAGATTTAAAATTAATTAATGCAAGATGAATGAATCCCCATTTCCCTTTGTTTTAATTGCCTCCTATTCACCCTGTTGGTAAGGGAGGGGTTCTGTCCTGGGGTTACAGGGATGGCCGAACACATGACACTTAAACGTGACAGGTGAGATCAACGGCAGTTTACTAGTTACATACACTCACAGCCCGGGGAAGAGGACACTGTGTACAATGCAAAGCCCCAGGGGAGTTGTCCTTGGGAACAGAGTGAAAAACCAGTGACCATGGGAGACAAGCTGTGTGGTATCAAGAGGGTGTGATGTCCCCTCATTTCTGCAGGAGAATGTGATTGGTTCAATTGAATGCTTTCGTGGTCTGGCAAGGAACTGAAGCCACTACTAGGGACAGCAGGGTCTGCACATGGGTCCCTTTGATATGGAAGGTTACTGGACTAGAAGACTTTATCTGTGAGAGCAGAGTGGAAAGGGGAACTTGTGATTAAGGCATTAAAGACCTTCCTGATTTTACCAGGGGTGAAGGTAGCTCATAATATTGGACCTTAATTTTAGGCCTTACACCATGATGTAAGTTCCTGGGGTGCTTATAAATCATCATAGCAGTTGGGAAGGAACGGCTACCTCACCTACCCATTGTGGGTTATCTGGTCCAACCCCAGATCGCTTCTGATTGACCTGATGCTCAGCACTCCACATACACACTCTCCAGTAGGGGCTCAGGCACTCCCGAGGTCTTTCCCCAAAACTCTGATTGTCTGCTCGTCTCTGGGAGGCTGCCTCATTTCCCTCAGTGCTATCATTTCCCTCATTTCTATCAGTCATGGTTAATCACCTCTTTCTGATGTCTGCTTTATGCAAGACTTGGGCCAAGCCCATGGAAGATCCAGGCAAAAGGTCCCCTCTGTTTTGGGATACCATCTCCTTGGTAAATCCGGTATCAGCATATTTTTTAAGGTATCCACTAGATGTAAGTTCTAAAAACAGTCTTTCCTTGCTTACTAAACTCTTATTTCCTTTTGGCCAAAAAAAAAAAAAAATCATTGTAATTTTTCACGCATGCTTCCTTCTCTACAACTTATGGTATAAATTTCATACACCAGTCTTCAGGCTTTTTGGTTCTTGATATGCAAAGTCAAGTTCTGTTCAAAACAAAACAAAAAGCTTCCTCTCTCAAACCTCAAGATTTTATTATTTAATTTAAAATTTGGTTTTATATATCAAGAATCATCTCTGCTATTGGTCTTAAAACAGTCAATTCAGCAATCCATATCTTTGTTCTAGAGCTACAGCTGACCTGTCTGCAGCAGTAGTCACATGTGGCTACTTAATTGAAAAGTTTAAATTAATATTGATTTAGATGATGAAAAATTTAAAATTCAATTCCTCAGTCCCAGTAGCCACATTTTGAGTGAGCAACAGACACACATAACTAGTGGTTACCATACTGGACAGTCAAACTTAGAACATTTCCACATTGCTTTAAGTTCTACTGGATAATGCTAGTCTGGAGTGTGTCTACATTTCCCTTGAGGGCTGTGAATTGTGAGTGAAGGGCAACGTGTAAAGAAAGAAGGGTGAGGTCGTTGAGGAAGAAACCTGTGTATATCTCAAAGTTTTATCCTGCTGCAGTAACTTTGAAGAAAGTTTTGAGTTTGAGAAGCTTAAATAATGGCTTTTAATGAGATTCCTTCCATGTTTGGGTAGAAGAACATTTTTGGCCACGGGAAACGCTCCTGCCTACCAGTCTGTCACAGATGGCATGTACCACGGATTGCCCCCGCTGAGCAGCTCTCTTGTGAAGAGCATTTTTGCTTCACAGCTCAGCCTGCCCCAGCCACTGGATCCACGGAGCCTCCAGGTATGTCGAGAGGTACTTTTATACCTATAAATGGTGTGTTATACATCAGGGATTTGGGCGCTGTGTTTCCATTTGATTTAAATTTTGCAGGGACTCGCCCTTCTCTGGGACTCTTTATCCTTGCTTGGCTCCCCTTAATTGATTCGGGAGAGCAGCCGGGGCCCACTGTTATTCCCAGTCAGAGTCTTTGCCCCCAAACTGTTCATCAGGTGAATTGGGTCAATAGCTTATCTGTTCACAGCTGGTAGCAAAACCAACAGTTGATCTTTTCAAGTTAATAAATAAGGATGACAGAAATCACAATACATAAATTAGGTCAGCAACTGAGGTTTGAACAGCCCTGGTTACAACAGGTGTTATCAAATGTAATCCTAGCAACCATTATTTAGGCACCAACGATATTACCCTCTTTCTACGACTAAAAGGTTAAGGTTCTGGCAGACCAGAGATCAGACTGCTGGGGAGTTATGGCAGCCCGAGGTCACAAATTGTATTGGTTATCTATGACAGTGTAACAAACCACCCCCCAAATTTAGCAGACTAAAACAATAAATGTTCATCATCTCATGTAGTTTGTGAAGCTCAGGAATCTGGGAACAGTTTATTGTGTAGTTCTGGTTAGTCATGTGGATTTCTCACCAGTCAGCAATTAAGGTATTGGCCCAGCTGTCGTCATCTCAGGGGTCTACTGGAGGAGAATCTGCTTCCAAGCCCACTCACAGGGCTGTTGGTAGGCAACAGAAGATCCACTTGCAAGCTCGTTCATGTAGGCTTGTCCACAGGGCTTCCTCACAACATGACAGATGGATTCCTCCAGACCAAACAATTCAAGAGAGAACAAGAGACAGACCCCAAGGTGGAAGTCATAGCCTTTTTATTACCTCATTTTAGAAGGGACATCCCATCTTTTTTGCCATATTTCATTCACTAGAAGTGAGTTAATTTTAGCCTACACTCAAGGGGAGAAGACTTAAACTCTACCTCTTTATGGGGAAGAGTATCAAAGAAGTTTTGGACATATATTTAAAACCACCTCACAAACCCAGGTCTTTTGACTCCAAAAGCTCCAACCTAGTGTTTATATATTGCAAAGCTAAGCCAAGTAATGCCAATATCAACCCCATGTAAGTTCCACAATTTTATCTTCCCTAGCAATAAGACAATTATTCTTGGCCCAAGCCTTGACCCTCATTTAGTCCTAGAGAACAGGATTGACCATGACCCCTGGGCCTGTTCCTATTGCCTTTGGATGTTGGCTGGGATTAGGTAGATGCAAGTGTCCTGGTTTCCTGCTACCTGAATCAAGTCTAACTCTAAGAATTGTCTGAAGCCAGTTCCAAGTGTGCAAGTATAGAATGGGGTCAGATGGACAGGTCAACTATGTCCAGGCCTGCATGTGCTGCCACAAGTAGTAGAGGACATCTTGGCTGTTGGACAGTGACATGGAGAAGACAGAAGTCCACATGTTAATATCGTGACTTTGGCTTTGAATTGTTACCTAGAACTGGAACACAGTGATGATGAAGGAAAACATTTTAAAGTTCCTAATACTGAGAACATTTAAGTTTATGTTTGTTGAATATAAATATGTCCCTTTGTTTTTATAGTATTCTGGAAATTCCAAACACTGGTGCTAACTAGTTACACTGAAGTCTTAAGAACCCCTCTATGTTTAGCCAGATTCTGGAGGGAAAAAAAAGGATGATTATTCTCTCCTCTACATTATGAAGGACCTTCTATCAAGACTATTTCTACATAGTAAATAAATCATCCCACAGTGTTTTAGAGTACAGATACAGAAATCCTGCTCATACAAGATGTTTATTATTTATGGACACAGTATACCATTATCATGTTTCTTATTTGGTTCTTCTAGGCATCCATGCTATTCCCTTGGAGAGCATTTCTGGAAGATGGAGGACTGTTTCCAGTTATGAGTAGCAGACCAGATACCCTAGAATATAATATGCAGGTAGGCTAGGTCTTCCCACTTGTCACAGAGAGAAATGAATGTAGACTGCAAAGCAGGCATCCTTGGGTCCATAGGTCAGTGGTGAATAATTTATGAGATAAGCAGGGGTGTTTGATTATGAAGCTATAAACCCAGCTTCATGTGAGTCATGTTTTCTTATGACAAGAAGAGAATCATTTTCTTGGTGGTATGGGCCTCAGTTGTAGATTCAGCTGTAGTTCCCATGGCCAGTAAAGATCAGGGAGAGTGGCCATCCATCTCCAATCACTCTCCAGGCCTCTTAGAGAAACAGCCAGGCTGGAAGTTCAGGGTTGTGTGACCAGGATCCTGGCCTACCTATAAACAGTGGTAGGGAGAGAATTCTTTAAGCGGGATCCATAGGAGAATTTCTTTCAATTATGTGTTTCCCCCCTGATTACCTAAGCAAATATCATTGTGTTCTCATTTTTTAAAAATAGAAAATATAGAAAAGTACTAAGAAAAAAGTGAAAATCAACCATAAATTTCCTCCAAAGTAATATGGAAGGGGGTAGTGTTGGTGATAGGGGCAGGCCTGGCCATAGGCTGATGGTTTTGGGGGCCGGGAGATGGGAATTATACTGTGTGCTTTTGTTTATAACTGTTTGGATTTTTTAAAGTAAAGTATTAAGAATGGTTAAGAAAATCAATTATAGTCCCCCACTAGGAAGCAATCACAGTTTACATATTGGTTTATTTTTTTTCGGTATTTTTCTTATGCATACCTGTGTTTATATCTGTACTTTTCAAGGAAAATGGATATCATACTATACATTCACCATGTATAGATACCACAGTAAAGTGCTGGGAACCTTGGGCTTCCATACAAAGCTGAAAGTCTGATATATTCAAGGAGAACTTTGAGCTAGAAATGTTACTCTAAGATTTTTATGGATTTTCTAATAATCAAGAGGGCAGGGCTTATAAATATAATTATTTCTAGTTTTCTCCCCAAAATCATGTATAAAGGATACATAGAAATCTTTAACATGGGTGTTTTGTTTCGTTCTTTTTTGTTTCTAGCTGTGCCTCTGTGGGCTGAGTGAGCTTGACCTCAAGGTAGCCCATGGAGAGCTGGTGGGCATGCAGCTGCTTTTGGAAGATGTACTTCTGAGCAGCCATCATATGACCATGGAGGACCCCTCCACACAGCAAGCCACACTGGACAAACACAGTCAGATACTCTTGGTAAAGAGTCTACGTAATTGGTCAGGGCTGTATTGTATTAAAGGACCTTCCTCTCTGGAGTCAGAGAGCTACAGATGCTGTCCAGTGGTATTTCCCAATGGGCCCCAGGACTGAGCTAATGTTGCATGGGGGCAGCAGTGGGGCAGGGGTCATCTCTAACATATGGTATATCCATTTCTTTTCATTTTAAAAAGAGAACAAAAGGGGTGCCTGGGTGGCTCAGTGAGTTAAAGCCTCTGCCGTCGGCTCAGGTCATGATCTCAGGGTCCTGAGATCAAGCCCCGCATTGGGCTCTCTGCTCAGCAGGGAGCCTGCTTCTCCCCTCCTCTCTCTCTGCCTGCCTCTCTGCCTACTTGTGATCTCTATCTGTCAAATAAATAAATAAAATCTTTAAAAAAAAAAAAGAACAAAAGTTGTGGGAGACCCACTGAAACAAGTAATGGAACAAGTAATCCAACTGGCTAGATTTCCTTAGGAGTCACGCACATTTAGAGTTGGAAGACACATGTAGAACTGGAGTCGGAAGGACTGGAGGGGTATGACAGAGACCCTGGGTGAACCTGTCTAGCCTGGGCTCTCATCTTCATCACTCAGCTAGTCTACAGACTCCTAGGCAAGTGCTGTCTCCTCTGGACTTGTCCCTCTGAAGCTCTAAGGTGCCAAGAACCTCTAGCCCACCTTATCATAACTGGAAATAACTCTGCCCCTATCTGGGAACCAGAGACTTGTAGTGACACAGAGTAAGCTAGCTGGTGCCCCATCTGAAGAGCCCCCTCTTCTGAGCCAAACATTCCGAGAGAGAGGTCTGCAGCAGCCCCAACCAATTCCTTACCTTCAATCCGCTCCTCAGAAACTACAATTTGTCACCATTGAGACCGTTCTTACCAAGAGCACCACGATCCTTGTCGCTAAATCCTCTGGATACTTTACAGTCCCCTTCCAACCTGAACCCCTTGTCAGTACCGGACACAGTGTGTCCTTCTAGCGGCCTCCCTGCACCTGGTTTCCAAAGCAGGGTTCCCTCCTAGTTTCCCCTGGCATTGCATCCAGGCCTTCTCAGACTTCCCCACAGACTCTCCTCTGCCTCCTGCCCCCCCTCTTCCTCTCCCAATCCCCCAAAGTATGATTTTTGGGGTTCTGTCCCCTACTACCCTCCCATGGGTCTGCATTTTGACTTCCATGTCATTAGCCACTTCAGTCTTTGTTGGCTCCTTCCTCCATAAAAAAGCATTAAAAGTGATAGTTTACAACCGTATTAATATAAAAAAAAATGATATCCTACATTAAAACATTTTATTAAGCCTCAATATCCCTTATCTCCTGATTTTAAAAGAAATTAGAAGACTTTGTAGGCCCTAAGCACTGTGTCTGGTCCATAAGTGTCCCCTGAACACTCTTACTACTACCATTGGTATGACTGAGATCTTTTCAGAGTGCTTTAGTAATTACTAGTTTCTTTCATCTTCACAACAATTCCATGAAGGGGGTACTCGCAGTATTCACATTTTACAGAAAATACTGAAGCTCAGAAAGGTTAAGTGATGTGCCCAAAGTCGTATAATCTCATGAGAAGAGAAACCCAGATTCCAAATGAACAGTCTGGCATTGGAGCTCCCCTCTACTCTTGCCCACTACGTTGTTCCACTTCTCAGCCTCTCCCTAGACAAATTCATCTGCTTTCGTAACTTTGATGACTTTACACGTGATGACTCATGCAATGACCATCTACATGTCGTGTCCCAATTTCAATCCTGTCAGATTCATGCATTCAACTTCCTTGTTCCACCCCAGAGTCCGTGTGTCCCAAACTGAGCTTATTTCACAGCCCAAAACTCACCCTTCTTTCCATATTCTCTGTCAGTGGACCACTCCTCGCCCAGTGACCCAAGCCAAAAAATCTGGACACCCATCTTTGATTTCTCTCTTCCATACCCCACAATCGAATGCTAAGTTTTACTATCCTATTACTTTAATATCTCTCAAGTTTGTCTACTGCTCCCCATCTTCCATCACCAACCCCCAGTCAGCATTGTCTCCTAATGTTAGGCTATGAGCATAACCTCCAGTTGGACTCCCTATGTTCACCCTTGCCTCCTTCTGGTACATTCACCAGGGTAATATTTTTACATGCAAAACTGATTATGTCACTTCCCTCTTATAACCCTTCAATGATTTCCAAAGGCCCCCAAAATAGAATCTAAATGCCACAATGAGACCTTCACCACCTATCTCCTCCTGGTATCTCCACCCTCAACTTCTTTCATTTCATGAAACGTATCATGCTGTCTCTCCTCAGTAACTTTGTGCGAGCTAGTCCCTCTGGTGGAAAACTTCCTTCCTTTTCCTCCTCCCTCTCTACTTCATCATCTGATTAAATCCTAGTTATCCTTCAGGCTTCAACTTCCACACCAGTCTTTCAGAAACTTCTTCAGAGTTTTTACCTTTTAGCTGATGCCCCTCTATGCCAATGAGGGTGAACTTGCTATAAGAAACAGGTTGTCCTACTAGCCGTGCCTTAAATTAGAAAGGGTACTACTCTTTCAAAACAAGTCTAGGAGGAGGTGGTTCGGGTTGGTACAGCCACTCAGGTTGATGTAGGCCCCAGCTCTGCCATCTTGGGTATGTCAGGAAAATGTCTCTTTCATCCTTGTAAGACGAAAACAAGAACAAAAATCTTTCTCCTTAAGGGGCTTTATCTTTTTACCAAGGAAGAAAATCCTTTCCAGAGCCTTCTAATAGATCTTCCCTGTGTCCTACTAGCTAAGTCTACTTCAGACAAATTAGTGGAAAAGGAAGTGTGTTGGGATGGGCTATCTAAATTCCACACAGAATTAGATGTTTCATTCAGAGGGAGCATTTGTAAATCAGGCTTGGCACCAAGTAGTACCAAGATCAAGAAGCATGCTGGGCCCTTTGGGCCCTCTAGTTACCATTACTTGGTCCTGTTTTTGATGGATTGCCATCCTTCCCTGACATCCCCACTCTCCCCCACCTTTGTGCTGTATCCTGTCTCCTGTTCCTTCTTCCATCCTCTAAAACACTTAGGAAGAGAAAACTTCTCTTAATATGAATATATTAACATGCTAAGTTTATGTTAAAGTAATTATTATTTTTTTAAAGATTTTATTTATTTATTTGACAGACAGAGATCACAAGTAGGCAGAGAGGCAGGCAGAGAGATAGGAGGAAGCAGGCTCCCTGCTGGGCAGAGAGCCCGATGCGGGGCTCGATCCCAGGACTCTGAGTTCATGATCTGAGCCCAAGGCAGAGGCTTTAACCCACTGAGCCACCCAGGCACCCCTGTAATTATTTATTTTAATTAGTTTTATTTCATGATTTGTTTTTAAATATTCATAGACACTAGGAAGCACCAGAATTTATACTGCCTGTGAGAAAGGACTCAGGGTTTCCTGGCCATGATCTCTTAGACTTCAGGCTCTTAAACTCCAAAACAAAAGTGATAGGCCCTTAAAGCAGTGGTCCCAGGAGCCCTGGGTTCCTCAGAGGCAAGTTGGAGTTTTGGTGTATTTTTTAAATTTATAATGCCTTTTTAAATTGAGGTATGATTAACATATAATACTAGTTTCAGGTATAAAACAAAGTGATTCTCTGTTTGTATGCATTGCAAAATGAAAATCATAGTAAGCCTAGTTACCATCCATTACTATACAAAGTTAATACAGTATTATTGACTGTATTCACCAAACTGTACATTATATCCACATGAGTTTTTTATTTTTATAATTGGAAGTTTGTACTTCTTGTTTCCCTTTACTCATTTGTCCCCCAAACCTCCTCTCCTCTGGCAACCACCAGTCTGTTCTCTGTATCGATGTCTTGCTTTAATTTTGTTTTGTTTTTTAGATTCCACATAAAAGTGAAAGCATGCAGTACTTGTGTCTGACTGACTTATCTCACTTAGCTTAATACCCTCTAGATCCATCTATATTGTCACAAATGGCAGGTTTTCATTCTTTCTTATGGCTGAGTAGTATTCCTGTGTGTGTGTGTGTAATCGCCTCTTTATCTGGTGATCCATCAATGAGCCCTTAGGTTGTTTCCAATATCTCGGCTATTGCAAATAATGCTTCAATGAACGTAACATGTGTATATCTTTTCAAATTCATACTTTGATTTTCTTCGTAGATACCCAATAGTGGAATTACTGGATCATATGGTAGTTCTCTTTTTAAGAGGAACCTCCATACTGTTTTTCATAGTGGTGCACTAGTTACATTCCCACCAACTGTGCACAACAGTTCTCTTTTTACCTTGCCAAAACTTGTTATTTATTTATTTATTTATTTAGTGATAGTTATTCTGACAGGTGTGTAGTGATATCTCATTCTGGTTTTGATTTACAGTCCTCTGGCGATTAGTAATGTTAAGCATTCTTCATATACTTATTGAGCATCTGTATGGGTTTGTTAGTTAGTTTGTTTGTTTGTTTGTTTTTGGAAAATGTCTATTCAGATCCTCTGACCAGTTTTAAATTTTCTGGGTTTTTTGTTATTGAGTTGTATGAATTCTTTTTTTTTTTTTTAAAGATTTTATTTATTGATTTGACAGAGAGAGACCACAAGTAGACAGAGAGGCAGGCAGAGAGAGAGAGAGAGAGAGGGAAGCAGGCTCCCTGCTGAGCAGAGAGCCTGATGCGGGACTCAATCCCAGGACCCTGAGATCATGACCCGAGCCAAAGGCAGCGGCTCAACCCACTGAGCCACCCAGGCGCCCCGAGTTGTATGAATTCTTTATGTATTCTGGATTTTAACCCCTATTAGGGATATGATTTGCAAATATCTTCTTCCATCAGTAGATGACCTTTTTATTGTGCTGATGGTTCTCTTCACTGTGCAGGAGCTTTTTAGTTTGATGTAGTCCCACTTGTTTACTCTTGCTTTTGTTTTCCTTGACTTTAAAGTCAGATCCAAAAAAATATCACTAAGACAAATGTCAAAGATCTTACTGCCTGTGTTTTCTTCTAGGAGTTTTAAGTTTCA